CCCCCCCCCCCCCCCCCCCCCCATCTCCAGAAACCCTCGAAACTGCGCCCATTTCAAACGCATGGCTTTGCGACCCCCCAAGACAAGCACAATTTTGACCTGCTCTTGTTATCTAATAAGGACAAACAATACAAATGGAGTTATCAAATGGAGGAACAAACCTCAATTCTGATAAATTTGCGTCACATGTCTGAAATCACCGCGTTTTCGGAAACACTGTAAAACAGGGGCCCCTATAGCGTCCCTTTCTGAAACAAAAAGGGGAGAGAAAGGCAACTACTGGGAGACCTAGTTGTGGTCCAGGTAACCCTTGGTGGTTGGTGGTGGGTGGTTTGGAGTTCTGAGAATTCGTGGTTGGTGCTGCTTCGGATTCACTTTGGGGGGTTGAAGTCCTACGATGGGGTTTCCCATGTTCCAAAGCTAGCCACGTATCCAAACCACCAATTCGAGTGAACCTGATGGTCTGTGTCACTTGTGTCGAGCTTTAAAACCTTCCCAAAAGGGTACCGACTGAAAAGACACCCACATGCAGCTCCTCAATTCCTTCAGAGATCCCACTTAAAGTGGAGTAAACCGCCGTAACCTTCCAACTACCGACGCTTTGTTCACTTGGCATCCCGTCAACCCTTTCATCAAGAGAGGGATCGGTATGTACCATGCAACACCAGGGTTTTCAACACATCCCCCAAAAACAACATTGTACTTGGAGTAGGCTGTGCGCTTGCCGAAAAAGAACATATCTTTCTAAGCATCATTTGACACTCCACTGGAGGGTCGAACCGGATCTCCGTTTGAAGGTTTTGGGCCTCAAACATGCCCTTTTAAAGGAAGTTCCAAGATTCGGGCAAGAGGTTCAACCATTCAAATCCTACATATCAAAATCAAGCACCTGGAGTCTCCTTCCGACGGCTCGAAAAAAAATGGCTCGCCCCCAAATTTCCTTGGTGACCCCAAGAAATGTCTATGGGGTCAGACAAGACTCGCCGCTGGGCATTTCTTCCGACTCGACTCGCGTTCGTCCGGGCCTCGGGGACCTCTTCCAGGTGCTCCAGCTCGGGCAGCGGCGGCAGAGGCGTCGGCGTGGGACCTGTGAGGTCCAGAGGCGTGAGCCGCGACTCCTCGCGCGGGTGAGTTGCGCGCGAGCGGGTTGCGCGCGAGCGGGTGGTCGGTCCGGTCTATGGGCGTTCCCGGGTGGTTTGGAGCTCGGTGGTTTTGGTAGCGAAGGGAAATTCAGGTTGCTCTTGGTGGGTGGCTTGGATTGGTTTGGATTGGTTTGGATTGGTTTGGATTGGTTTGAATTTCATGGGGGCGGGGGATGAAGGGGAGGGGGAGGGAGGGCCTAGGAGTTCAAGCCCCCAAACCGATCCACCAATGAATTAAAGGAAACCTGCCTAGCAAGCTCCCTTAAACAATGGGTCAATGTGAACATGAAAACCAAACAACACCACTTTGTAGAGGAACTCCTGTGGTGTGGGCCCCTTTCTGGGTTCCATGTTACTTGATTGGCAGAGGAGTAATTTAAACTTGGCTAGACTGATCCAACCCCCTGCAACAAGTTAACATGTTGCAGGTTGAGTGAGAAAACGCTCAACAAGGCAAGCTACGTCTAGCACTGCAAATACCTTTTCCTGTGGTTGAGGGGGAAAGAAACGGTTTTGCAAACTTCCACGTTGCAAACACCGCCCCTATGCCTTTGACGCTTTGTTGGAGACTCTTTGGACATAATTTACATGCAAAAATATATCCACGCAGCCGGATGCAAGGACTTCCACCTTGTTTAAGCATGTTAATATCCTTGGTTGCTGCGGACTCCTCTCCAAAAAGCTTGACTATGTGTGGGTCCAATGGAGAATCCATTGCTTGTCCAAAAAGTTAAAGTTCCAACCAATAGCCATTAAAAGAAAACAAACAAAACAAATGCCATTGTTGAAGCACTCTCCTTCTGGCTTCCCTGAAAGCGAGGTCCATATTTAAACATGGCTTTCAACCTAAAAGAAAATGGGACGCTCGCCACTCCTCCTCAGGGCACTCCGTGCTTGGCGCCGTAGGCGTGTACAGGTCTTCTCGCAGGGTGCCTGGCCGGCAATTCAACTCGTCTCACCTTGACACCCAAATTCACTTCTCCCGGTGCTTCCAAAATCTTCCGCGATACTGTAGGTAACCACATACTTACCTCAGGTCTTGCATGATAGCTTCCCTGGCTACTAGTACCTTCTATACTTGGCCCACATCTACGGAAAGCATATATTTGTTGTTTCCATTTCTTCTATCATATAGTCTCGGAGGAGACCCCACCCTTCAAAATAATGCAGGGTTCAACCCCGATTCAAAGAAGGGCGGCCTGGGAACCCAACTTAGATGAGGAGTTACTTTATTTTTTATTATTTTAGTTGTGGCAACTAAATTCCAGGCAATAGGGATTTTCATGGTTCCCTAAGCTTTGTTTCTGCGGTTTGTGCCCTAGGGTGGTCCAAAGATGCTTGAAAAACGCTGGATTCCTTTTGGTCTCCCTTCAGAGTTGCGGGGGGGTCGTGGTCAAAGCAAAGTATGGCCCTGCCTGCCAAGATCTCATCAAAGAGCTGTGTGTGACTCGCGTCTTGATTTTCCTCTTCCTCCTCTTTCTGGTCCTCCTGGTCCTGATCCTCCTTGACATGGAGTTCCAAGCCACCTTTAAAACCAAGCTTGGGTCAATGTAACCGCCAAAGCTTGGGTCAATGTAACCACTCTGAAATTTCAGAATTGTCATCGTTAGTCATCCATGAAATTGGGTCCTTGCCATTCCGCTCATGGACTTTGGATCCATGGTCAGCAGACCTGGGCCAAACCTGGGCTAAAAGTTTGACCGCGGATCAAATGGAAACCACGAAAACCTGAAAAAACCACCAAGACAGCCTAAAGAATCGGATGGGAACCACCAAGAAACCTCTTCCTAGGTGTTTCAGGGGTTAGAATAAAGGTACCTTTTATCTGTCTATAGTAGGGGAACCCTCCCAACCAAAAACGGGCCGGGCACCTAGCTGGGACCTAGTGCACGATTCAGGTCCCAAAGGCTAACTGATTGTTATGCTCACGCCGAACTTGCGGCCAAAGGGCCTCTCTAGAAAACGGGTGTTGGATGTGGCGAATCTGTGGATCTGTGGATGGCGAAACATGTGCAACAGCGCTCCTGCTCCTCGGACTCGCTGGACTGGCTGGACTGGCTGGACTGGCTGGACTCGCTGGTTCGTGAGCTGTCGGAGTCTGGCTTTACCTCTTGAACCTCGACCTCCTCGTCCTCCACCTTAGCTGCCACTTTGGACCCGAAAAAGGGAATGACCTGTTGGGGCCAGAGAGGCCGTGGCTCCAAAGTTGGTATACCCAACATGATAATTGGCACCGAAAGGTGATCCACTGCCAAAATGAAAGCCAAGTGCAAAAATACATCAAACACTGGGACTGGAATATCAATATAACATTGGGTGCATTGGATTGGCCACAGCGGTGACCAGGACCAAATCCATAGTGAAAGGCCACTAACACTGGACATGCCCTCGGTCCCAGCCGGGGTGAATGGGCAAGGCGAGACCTCTGATCACCTTTTGAGGCCAAAACGGCCGTGGTTCCACAAGTGGCATACGTACCCAAAATGGCACCTTGGGAAATGGAACGGACCGAAACCAGCGCGGTTTGCCCGAGCTCTCATTTCGACCCATGCCCAACTGGAATCCCAAGTGGAGACTCAAAGGTCAAAAAGCTTCATGTGCTTGGGGCGCCCCCAGGCCCCCGTGCCTCGTGGTTCGGCTCTCAAAGAGTACCCGTGTCGGGTACAAACGGACGGCACCGAAGAACCTTCCGAGCCACGCGTACCGCCTTCTTCCGACGTCTTCTCGGCACCCTGATGGGTCTTTCGTCCTAGCCAAACGATTCGAACAACAGAGGCCGAAGAAAGTCCGCGCGGGACGTTCGGTCCGTGTCAAAGCCAAGTAACAGGCAGGCAAGAAACCGACCAACCAACAAGCAAAATAGTGAACCAACCCTGCAAAATAAACAACCTGCAAATAATTCACCAACCCCATTGAAAAAAACCCTCATGAATCACGACGTCGCAACCCCCCGGATGTGACATTGCTACATAGTTTGCCCAGAGATGTCAAAGAAAAACCTTTGATTCTGGGTTTACCCTAAAGCATCTACGGGTGAAACCGCCCTGGCTTTGACACATACATATACCATCCCCCAGCTGGGAAGAACAGGGCCCTTCCGTGTCCTACTCCAAATACTCTCTCTCTTGCTCCGCTTTTAGGGCATTTTTCAATGGACACATGTGTTTTTTGTGTAGAGGGGTGACATGACATTAGGTAGAAAAGGCTTTGGTATTTGGTACATTTTGGCCCTGACATGTACGGTGCACAGCTTACGTACACAACCTCTGGGATGCTAGCCACGGTGAATATCTATTGTGTGACCCTCAGGGCATGGTCAAAATTCATCTACTCGTCTAGCTGTGCCTTCCATGTCCATTCTCTTCAGGGATCCTTCTCTTCAAGAAATGGGCTAAACCAGAGGAAAATGGGTGGTTTCCTCAAAGATCGGTGGGCGAAGAGAATGGGGAATCACCCCTTAGAACTAGGGGACCGCAGCTTTAGCCCATGTTTCCATTTACCTGGGTTCCACTTTGGGTACATATGTTTGACCCACACCCAATTGGAGTTTGGTAAACCTCCAATTGTGAGTGGCAATCGGTGTGTGTCCTTGACTAAGTGACTACACTAGATGACAGCCATAGCACAAATTGGTTCACTGGCTGCGCCAATGGCGCTCATGTCGCAAAGTCACTGCTGATGACTTGAAAAGGCCCCAACAGCTTCACAAGCTGACTACGGTTGACAATCTCTCTGCAATTGTTACTACATAATTCCAAAAGCTGAATTAAGGGTTTCCCAAGCAAAGAACGTTTTACCCCCAGGTGAGCTCGCCATAAAATAAGCAGAATCATTGAAACCTTGGCGGTTGTACGTCAATTTCCCCCCACTGGCAGTTCGGTAAGAGTGTGTGCCCGTGAGTCCACTAGCGCACAAAACAATGATGTCTCACAGTAAAATCATTGTAACACTGGTTTTCAAATGGTTAGCACATGTTGCCCCCAAAGCGTCAAATTGGCCGGACTGAACCACTGAAATTTCAGGGGTGTGCCTGCCACGTCAGGGATACATTGCACCCCTTGCACGAGTCGGACTACAAGAAACAATCTCCAAGAACTGGCCAGGATATTTTACCAACCCCCCCCCCTATTTGTGGGTAGGCGATTGGCCAACTTGCTGGAGATGTTCAGCTGGTTTTGCTTAAAGTCTGTGCGCTCGAAACCTGGGATGGGTATCACAACACGTCCTGGGGTCTATAAACCAACAGGTCAAATAGCGGTAAACAATGTGAGCCCCGGATAAATAACCCCCTGGTTGAATAGAAGGGGGTGATCCCGATTCATAGGACGGGTTTATGAATCAAAGGTTCAACACTACATAGGTTGGCTCAAAATCGAGGCACCCCGAAAGGTTTCCTTTTGGTTTCCCTTCAAGCCAACCAAAGAAGGGTTCCCTCAAAGCACAACAACATGATATAGGCTTCAAACGGGTAAGACAAACGAAGGGGCCCCCTTTCAAGTCTGTCCTCGTCGTTCCAATTGCTAAGGAGATTCTTGGTCACATCAAGCCTCAGCCGGACTGAGAACCCTGCCAAAAATCGACTTTTGGCCGGAACAAAAAACAAACGCTGTAGCAAACAGAAAAACATCGAAAGATGAACATAAACATACCTGGAGTCTCCATGACCCGTTAAAAATGGGTTCATAACCCCTTAATTTTGGGCACTGACGGCACTGACGGCACTGACACCATGTTTTAAGGGTCAGAAGAAGACTCCAGAACATACAGGCGTAACAAGCTGAACCAGTTCAAGCAAACAAAAAATAGCGCTGGCCACGTGGCTGCATGATCCGCGAGAGCAACTCGTCACTGTTCACCTTCACCGCCCTCTCCGACCTTTCCATGCGCCCCATCCTGGCCGAAGGGAAATATCGAGTTGCCGCCCGAACGCTCCATCATTTTTAGAGTATGTTTTGAACAACCCGCGAGTTGTTCGTGGTAAGTACCTCCTGCTTTAGTTAAGACCAACTACAACCTGCCGTTTGTTTTGGGATGCTACAAGGGTAGACAGAATTATGCAATGGTATACCGCCCCCCCCCTATCCCCCGTCCTTCTAGAACTCTTCTGCCCACCTAGACAACTTCTCCCTGAGACCTCCCCAAGCTGGTTTGAGCGTTCCCCCTTGCATCTTGCCGAATGATTGGCTAGCTCTTCCAGTAGAGAGGTTAGAATAAGGGCACCCTTTTTCTGTAGTCTATATAGGGGTACCCTCCCCCCCAGAAAGGGCTACTGCGGCCTAGTTGAAGCAGCAAAGTCAGACGGTGGCTGTTCCAATGTCGACAGTCCCGGATCAAAACCTTCCGACCCTTAAAAGCTTTGGTCACCCAAAATTCAGGGGACTCCTGCCCCCTTTTTGTTAAGGGTCATGGAAAAACTCCAGGTATTCAGAATCAGACAGACCGAGCCAACGTACGGGTTTCCCCGCTTCACGGCGCTCCAGCCCTCCCCGAGCGCACGGCTCCGCTGCTGCGCGTGAGGAAGCGAAAAGCGGAAAACGGGGCCATGCGCTTGAGACAGTGTTGGTCAAACGCCACGAGCTCTTTGGCAAAACCGGATCCAAAAAAGACCTGTGGCTCTTACACGCATTCTTTTTTTCTGACAGCTTTCCAGAGGTATCATGAAAGTCCAGGCTGCTGCTTCTAAGGAGGGGGGTGGTAAAGGCGGGGGTTCCACTTCAGAACAGAAACGATGTTGGTTCCTAAAAATGTGACTCGGGTTTTCTCTGAATTGGCCATCTCTGCACGAACCCTATATGATATACGGGTCGTCTTGTTTTGAGGGTACTCTGCTGTTGTGGTTTTAAACGGAAAACCAAAAGGCAATCACCATTTTGGGGCTCCCCTAAAAAAGATACAACCATATTAATCTTCCCTTTCCAAACATATAATAGCTTTGGAGAAGAGCCAGGGAGTATTCTCATCAACTGATTTGCTTTTGCACTTTCTCAACTCCCCCACCCCCCCACCCAAAAAATAAAAATCAAAATAAACTCCTTTGGAGCTACAAAAACCCGAGGGCACCCTGATTCAAGGGTGGAGACTGCAGACTCCAGGTACACATGGTCGAAGACAATCGCTTAAGGGATCTGCTTTCGGGGAAAGGACCCCGTTTTGTGGTTCCTTCCATGTAATTGCACTGCAAAGTCTGCAATGCAAAACCTGGAATAAGAAGTGGATTCCTAAGTAAAGAACCCTCAACATCATAAAACTGGTAGACAGCATCCTCCCGCCAATCAGTAAAGCTGACAAGAGGGTTTTAGAAAACTACTTTCCGAACCCGACATGGTTGTGGAAAGCAATGCCGAAGGGTCCCATCCATTCGACTCCTTTGTCACCTTTCAGCCGGATTCCTTCACGCTGCCGAGGGGACCATGCATTACAGCCCCATGGCATAATGCACTTTATCAAGAGACCTAGCCTGAAACAAAGGTGACATCACCCGACAAGGGGCGGCAAGGGTAGAAATTGGTAGCAATCACAAGGTCAAACGGTCGGTATTGCACAACTGATAGGGCGGCAATGTGTTGTTGCACATGTCAACTTAATTACCAAACTTACCCTGCCCTGCTTCAATTATTCAATCGCAATGTGTCAACACCAGGCACCCTTTTTGCGCTGGATGTTCAAAGGAAAGCAGCCAACCAGATGAGAGAAGCGCCCAACTTGACACCCACATATTTTCTAGTGCGAAATTCAGGCAAAAATGCGGCACCCCCTACTCCAAGTACGCGTTTTGGTTTGTTTTTGTTAAGGGTATTATGTCAACCCTGTACAAGCAATTGCGGTATTTACAATGGACATCGTTAAACAACAACCTGGGCATTTGGAGTATGGGACCCAGGGCACCAGTTTGTCATCTTCCCGGAAACCAGCTGCTTCAGCAGCAGTGTTCGTGTAATCGGGAAACCCCTGGATGGCCAACCAGAATGGCAACGATCCATGGAATTTCCCGTGCAAGCTCTACAATGAATTAACAAAGCCGAAGTAAAGGTCCTAAAACATGGTGAGCTCATTTTATCCCGTGAGCTCGCCACCTAAACCGCCACAAAATAGGGAGCTGTCAGTGGAAACTTCTCTTGATGTCCACAGGTTCCGTTAGCATCCTCAACTCGTCTCAATTTCCAGTGTGACCAGCGTGACCATCAGCGACTTTTTTTTTCGTGGGGAAGGGGGTGACTAAAGATCCGGGGCGACTGCGCACGGTAATTACTTCCGGGTCAAAAGAAGTTCAACCCACTGAACCCTAAAAAACAACACCAACCGCCGCGGGAACCGGATGCCAAGTAGGAAAGGGGGGTTTCCCATCCCACACTGAGACCATTCCGTCGGTTCCGATCCCCCGCCTGGAGATGGTGCGAGAGTAGACCACCAAGGACCGGATGGTAGATGCCTCCTCCATGATCTTCTCAAGGGCCACTTTGTACGTCTTCTTCGTCTGACCTTGCGACGTACGTGGCGCAACTAGGTCCTCCAGCAGAGAGGTTAGAAGAAGGGTGCCCGATTCTTGTTTCATGTTTTTCTCGGTAGTCTATTTTAGTAGGGGAACCCTCCCCAAAAAACGAGTAAAAGTTTCCCACGAGTGGAGGGTGTTTCAGGGAAACAACCGCCAGTGACTGACTACCCCCAGAAATCGTGAACCTACTCTGCAGATTAACATGGTACCCAGAAAGCTGCGATTTCTAGAGGAATCTCCTTTCGGGCTACTTCCTCAGGTCTCTTTGGGTTCCCCTTCACCTTGGGTTCCATGCTAATGTGCAGGGGAGCACTTGGGTGTTCGGCCAAGTTAGTAAGTTGTTGGTAACTTGGGCTAGAACCGTGAGTGGAACTAATTGACCCTGTTGGTGATAATCTGAGTAGCTAACCACTTTCTAACCTGGCCGAACATCCAAGTATTCCTACCTTAAGGGGGAGGGCGGTGGTGGGTATTCCATTTTTCTAGTCTTCATAGGGAAAATGGGTTGCCATAAATGGAGATCTCCAGGGGTCAAAAGCCCCCTCCCCCAATTCCACCCCCTACTCCAAATACCTACACTTGTTGAAGGTTCTCATGGCAAACCGTGAGCGTGGGTGCTCCAAATTCATACCGACTAAAAACAGCGTTGGTACTTGGGAGTCGTTTTTAGGGGACCGCCCAAACTGGGTGGGTGGTCCTGTTCCTTTAAACCGCCAAAAAAGGACCATTTGGCATTGCATGCGTTTCGCCTTGAATCAGGGTAAGGTCTGGTCCAGTTTGAGGGGGTGTTTGCCCGGATCCAAGGGGCTTAAACATGTCTGAACCACCTAAAAAAGCTAAGAAGCTAAGGAACCGGATCAAGGATCCGGATGCATGATACACCTGAACATTGCAACTGGGCAATGGTGGTTTCCAACTTTATTTTGGTGAGAAAAAAAAAGCCGCCTTTCAAGTGGTTGCAACAAATGGAGATGGTGGTTTCCCTTTATTTTGGTGTTGAAAAAGCCGCCTTTCAAATGGTTGCAAAATGGAGATCCTTTTAGGAGCGCTGCGGGTGGCTGGGAGCCAAGCCAAAAAAAACACCCGCACCCATCTGGCCAGTGGCTGGCGGTTTGGGAGGCATCGTGATCTCCTGCCAGCACCGCATCCTCCACCTCCTGCTCCAGGTTCCTGCCGAAGCAAGACACATGTCTGCCAATTTGACTTCTTCCATTTGGTTAAGACCCCGGGAGAAAGTAAAAACAGATTCCCAGTAGTGAAATAGATTCCCTTTAAAACAATTAGGGGGAAGCATAATCTTAAGCAAATGGAAGTGATAGCCAAGTTGCCGCTTTTTTCAGTCACTGTTGCTGGCGATTGGGGTAAAGTGGATGTAAAAAAGCCGCAACTGGCGATCCAGGATGCTACTTGCGAATTCCAAGAGCCCTAACCCAAGATTCAAGGGCGAACCTTTGAAATGGGTGCACCTTCTTCATTTCAAGAACCGGATCCCATTCGTAAAGGACCGCTCTCATGGCTTTCACTCGCACTCGAATCGGTCGAATCGGAACAGGCAGCTTTCGCTGCAGGCCCCCTGTAACCTCCTGAGTGGCTGAAGTTTTTTTTGGCGGTTGGTCCCCTTTTTGGGCTGGTTTTTAAGGGAACCCAAAGGAAAACACTGGGTTTTTGTTGGGCTGGGGGGGTACGTCTATTTTTGAGACAAACATCAATACCAACATTAAGCCTCAAAGGGGGTTCAAAGCCCTGGTCTAGGGTTTTTGGGGAGGGAAAAGAAAAAGAATTACCCAGGAACACCAAACAATTGTTCTATTAGTATTAGAAATCCCCCTATTAAGCCGGTGGCAGGCCAAAACCTTCCAAAACTTCCCCCCCAAAAAGACCTTCTGACCCTAGAGAAGGGGGGGGGGAATAATACGGGGTCAACATTACGAATTACCCCATTCAAACCCAGAAGCGATTCTGGTACCAAGTGACCCCCATGCATCTGGGGATTTAGAGACCATCTAACATGGTTGGGTTCATGGCAACCATATTGTAACCACTAAAACCCCCCGCAAAAAAAAATGGGGGGGGCACCCAAATCCCCCCCCAAACAAAAAACATGGAAGGCCACAATTTCCTCGCCCCTACCTTCCTTCTTTGGGAAAACACCTCCCGAAATCAAGCCCCCTCCCCCCCCCGGAAAAAAATGGACGAGCTCCACCCCCGCGAACTCACCAACACATCCCTCGCTCTCCGCTCGCGTCGGTTTTCTCGCTCCCCTCGCCTCGCCTGAGGTGGGCCTCCAGGACTTTCCGGAGCTCCGGCATGGCCTCGGGGACGTTGGCGTTCGGCTCCGCGAAGGCTTTCAGCAGCTCGGGGACCACCAGGTCGTAGCCGTCCACGCGGAAGAGCACCTCGGATTTTCCCAGAGGGGCGAGGCGATGGAGCTTCCACCCGGCGAAGAACAAGAAGAAAAAAAGGGACCAACGAAAAAGGGGACCAACAAAAAGAGACCGACAAAAAGAGACCAACAAAAGGGACCAACATAAAGAGACCAACCAACAGGGGACCAACAAAAGGGGGTGTTGTTACCAACTGGGCCTCTGGGAGAAACCAACACCAACTGACCGAATTCTGGGGGGAAGGGGGGGGGGCTAAAAAGCAAATGAAACCTTGGGAAGGAGGGGTGACCTTTGGGGTGCTGACAAAACCAAAACCAGACCCCATGAATATTAACCACTATCAAAGCCCGGAAGGAATCCACCTTTGGGCTTTGAGGTGTTGCGCCAAGGGGCTGCAATTCGACGGTTTCGGGCCATGGGTTATTTTCACTCCGGGCCCTTCCGACTTCTGATTTCTTTAGAGGGCCTTGGGGCCTGGATTCAAAAAGGTCACGAGCCTTAGGCCACTAAGTGACCTAAGTGGTGAAAGGGAATCAAAACCTTTGGGCTTTGGGGGTGCTGACAGTGACCCCATTGCGTTTTACCATGTTCGATTCGCCAAGTTAGTGCGATAGTTGGCAACTTGGGTTGTAACCCACCCATAAGTCGCCTTTAGTGGGTTGGCTGGCCACTTGCTAACTTGGCCGAACATGCAAGCACTATCAAAGCAACCCCTTGATTGGCAGGTCAAGGGAATCAACCCTGGTTTCTGACTGTGATAACCCCCCAAAAACAATCAAAATGACCCCGGTCAATCGCAACTGACACCTTTGCGGGGGGGAGGTAATTGGGGATGGGGGGGGACTGGCAACAAAATCTTTGGATGGAACCGCCTACTAAGATTTGCAAAATCGATCGGCTTTGGGCGCCTGGGGGAAGGGGGGGCTTAACCACTTGGCCACTATGCCCGAATCGGGGAGACACCACTTGTTATTCATTGCTTGTACACATACAATTTTGCCGACCCAAACAAGATGGGCCGAAAAAAGTCGAACATCTCTTGTTTGCCACTCAAACGGCCTTCCCAAAAAAAGTCCAGGAACTCGGGACATGAGCTATTTTGACACAGTAACTCAGGGATAGGCGCAAAGTTCGCATTTTTCACCAGGTCCTCCAGTAGAGAGGTTAGAATAAGCGGACCTTTTTCTCTTTTTTTTGTTTATTTCCGGTAGTCTATTTTAGTAGGGGAACCCTCCCAACCAAAAAAAAGGATGAGAAGGACACTTAGCTGGGGGACCTAGTTCAGAACTTCTTGCAGCTTCGGCACCAGCTGCCAGAAGATGGTGGTCACATGTTCCTCAGGGATGGACCCGAAAGCTCCAAATCGCGCTTTGCTCCAGCTTCTTTTCAGTGCCCGTGAGGTGTAGAAGTCATCTTAGGGGTCCCTTGAGATATGTTTCAGCGACTAAAAGGCGACCCCGTTCTTCGCTAAAGAACTGCTGGACTTGTTTCGGCACATGCTGGATGCACCAGGCAAATACACTCCTGCAGGTTAGCATGGAATCCCAAACAACCACCATATTTAGAGTTTGAAGGGGAGTACCCCTGAAACAATGGAACCTGACGGTGGGGATTTCCTGAAGTTGACTTTTGGAGGCCCAACCTTCTCAACAACCCAATTTCCTCCATTGTGTCAGGCGCACTGAGCAGGTGCAGAGCGACTCATGTGATGCCAACAAGGCCCGATGTACAAATAGAAGCGACTGTTTTGGCAGTTCCCACCAGTTTCGGTCTACCTAGGTCCTCCAGTAGAGAGGTTAGAATAGGGGTACCCTTTTTTTCTGTAGTGTTTTGGTGGGGGAAATAGGGCACTATTGGGGACCTATTTTGTTGATTGTACATGCCACGTTTTTTAGTAAAGGGTTGACGTGATAGCCGAAAAAAGGCGGGTATTGGGAGTAGGGGATGGTTTCTTTTTGGAATCCTTTCAATCGACAAATTCTATTGGGGAGGTCCCCGACCTTTTTCAGTACGAAATTTGTGGCTCCTGGTCATTCTTTCAAAACACAAATACAAGTGTCTGGCAAATGGCAAGAGATTCCTTTTGATTTCCCTTGAGCCAACCAAAAGCGAGCAGGCTTTTCAAAATCCCATTTGGATGTGCCTCAAAAAGGAGGGGGCCTAAAATCGTTGGCTTCCTTTTGGTAATCCTTGGAACCACTCGCTTTCGTGGGGCCTCAAGAAGGCGACGCACACATCCGGAGAAGCCCAAGTGTACTCCAAACTGGATCTTGTTTGAAGAACCAGCCGCTTCCCACGGCGGAAGTACCGATCCCTTTTTTACACGATACCAACCTAACAAGAGCGTTGGTACTTGGAGGTTGCGGCGGGTCAGCCAAAATCGGTTGCCTCCATGATGTCGTCCATCTGAACCTGTGGGTTGAAGGCCTCCTGCTCCTGGCCAACGCAGGCGCCAACTCAGCAAAAAAACAGGGCAGGGAGTAGCGTTGAGAAGCAGCTCCTGCGGAACTTCGTCTAAGGTGGCCTGCAAGCTACTCCTCTACTGCTACTTCTACTACTACTGCTACTACTACTAAAGACTAGTACTACTACTGCTTCTACTACTTCTTCGTTGTAGTAGTAGTACCAGTAGTAGCACCAGTACTGGTACTGCTAGTGGTGGTACGAGTAGTCGTAGTAGTAGTAGTAGTAGTAGTAGTGGTGGTGTTGGTGGTGGTGGTGTTGGTGGTGGTTGCAGTCGTAGTAGCAGCAGCAGTAATAGTAGTAGCAGCATTTTTCCCAGAAGGCCAAAAAAGGAAGGGTGAGATTGGCTTTGGTTCGCTGGCAAAAATCGCTCGACCTGCGCCAGCCGGCTACTCTGAATGCCTACACAAAAGATTAAAAGCTAAGGTTTTGCTTCTTGGGTCCCGTGCAAAGACTGTACCAAAACTGGTATGAAAGTGGCTCCAAACCAAATGCTTCTTGTGGATTTTCTGAGTAGTGGGAAGCGATGTGCCAAACAGAGCGCGCAGTCACCCCGCTAAGCAGCGGAAGCTAGGACCGAGACAGATCTTTGATAGAGCGGGTTGCAATGGCACTGCGCGGGTCGAGGTCAGCCAGGATTCATGCCAGCTTAGCCAAATCAGCCTCCTTCCTTGGATCATCCCGGAAAAAAACAACTTAGTTTTTGGCAGGCTGCAAGGGAGAATGGCAAAGTGGCAGCTTTAAGGGAAACCCCGGCTCAGTACGTCAAGGCCGCACCCAAAGCCCAGGCAAAACAAGACTCGCGAAACTCGCGAAACTCGAGTTGTTTGATCCTCACAATTTGCTGTCTAGCTTGGCCTGAGCCAAGCAAAAATCAACACGTGATTTGATCTGATCAATGCATCGATGTGATCAGATTTGGTTGGCTTGCTGCACCAAGGAACTTGCAGCTGTTGATTTGCCTTGCCTACGCCTGGCTTCCCAGGAACCCCCCCCCAACAAGCGCAAGCCAAACCGCTCAAAAACTACGCCGCTGCAACTGGGCCGGGTCGTCTTTTTCAGTGGCCAGGTTGTTTAACTTTGCCTGGGGCAATACGCAATGGCAACTTGACACTGGGCAGGGTCTAGTGTTTAAGTGGCCTGCCCAACTACCCCGCAATAAACAGATACTCGGCTGGAACAGCAATGTCCATTTTCGCTCGACCCGTCCAGCCGCTCAACAACTGGCAGCTTGCCAACGGACAGTGTCTAGTCTGAAGCAGATTGATTTTTCAAATTGTCTCCAAATGGCTTGGATATTATAATTTTCTTTCTGCTGGGACGCGCTGGCAAAACCCAAGCCCAAGGAATCCAAAACGCTGGGGCCTTCGTAGCACACGGGTCTGCAGAAGCAATTTTTGAGATCCAATGGGTTGATCTGCAGAAACCTTGTCACGGATTTCTCATTCGGGACAGGACGCGTGAGTGTTCATACAGCACTCCTGACAAGAATGGAGCTTAGTCGGCTACCCCGGCGTGAAAACAAGGGAGGCGAATAAAATGTCATTCTCCTTACCACCCTACCACGCATCACATACCTACCTTCCTACCTGCTACCACGACTGCTGCCACTACTGCTGCTGAAACTACTGCTTCTAGTGGTTTCGCAAAAATTAGACTGCTTCTACTACTTCTACTGCTGGTACTGCTACTAGTACTAGTACTAGTACTACTACTACTACCACTACTACTACTACTACTACTACTACTACTACTACTACTACTATTACTACTACTACCACTGCTGCCTACTGCTCCCTACTGCAACTGCTGCTAGTACGAGAGCGACTAGCACAGCAAACAACTATCACATCTGCTACAGCTACTACTGCTACTGCTTCTATAGCACTGGTCCTACTAGTTGCAACTATCACTACTAATAGTACTACTACTGCCACTACTAGTAGTACTAGTTGCTACTAGCGCTACTACTTCTTCTACTACTCATAACTTAATACCGCCACTACTACTTCGTCTTTCCATGTCTATTCCTGTCACTATTAGCGCCGCTCTTTTCATTAGCGCTACGCTAGTATGCCTATCGTTTCCGCTACGAGTTTACTAGTACTAGGACTGCTGTCTACTATTGCTACTACTGGTTCATTATTTGCAGGTTTGACGATCACCCACTACTTTTAGTTGTACTCATTTTCCTACTATTCCTACGCTACTAGTGTAGTTCCTACCATTCCGATTTTGTCTTGTGCTACTGCTTCATCTCCGGCGTCTAGCGTCGCTATGGCTACTTTTGCTACCGCTCACAGCTCTACAGCCAGTACCTTGCGGAATGTTGTTGCTTCTGCTTCACAAGGCTTGGGCGCCACCACCACTACAAATTCTGCCGCTTTACTTCTACTTCTGCTGGCGCTACTTGCTGCTTGCTACTTGCCGCTTGTAACTTGCTAATTCTTTGTTCTTGTCTACCAGTTGCCGACTTCTGCTCGACACCTACTACGCACTATTACCTTGCTAATTCTTTGTTCTTGTCTACCAGTTGCCGACTTCTGCTCGACACCTACTACGCACTATGCGTGATTTACGGCTTGCTACTTATGACCACTGCGTGCAAACATGCCTTCTCACTGCAGCCCTGGTTCCTGCCGCGGTCATCGTGCTCTTTGGCGTGGTAAGCGCGCCGGATTCGTATCTTGTCATTAATTGCCGGAGCGAGTCCTGATGCGGAATGCCATGATGACATTCCCTGGAGCTGCTTGCGTGGCCCCACGTGGCGTTGCGCGTGCGCTGCAGTGTGACAGTGACAGTTTGAAGCTGCGCCATCCACTCAAACAAAGCGGCTCTTCGCAACTGTTCCGTAGACCCACTTTTCTTCAACAAAGTCTGCGGGACGGTTTTTCAAGGAAAGCCACCCTCTTAATAGGACGGGTTGACTAATCTGGGGCCAACATTACATACCCTGGTGTATACTGGCTTGTAGCGGTGGAAGCAAGTAGATTACCCTTCACATAGTGGTTGTGTAGTACTTGCATATCCCGTTAAACCCTTTGAGGACAGTGATTTAGGGGTAGAGGAAGCCATCTGATTATTGGGACAAAGTCATTTGCCGGAAACCTCACTGGAAGCTGAGTTACGGTTGCGGGACTTACGCCTTTTTGCTTTTCTGTGATACCCACGCGTGTCATTGGACTACTTTGTGGCCGTGAAGGAGTAACTTCCCCATGCAAATTCCCCAGCATTCCCAAACCGGAAACAAGGGACACCCCAAATTAAAGGACCTTCCTCATAGGTTTCTGCTCGTTCCCCCAAATCGGTGAGCTCCTGAAAACAACTCCTTCTGGGACGGCCTCGTCTTCACCCGAATGAAACCACCCTGGAGATTCCAATGCCGAGGAATTCCCGGAATTCCTGGGCGCTCTGGTTCTCAAGGCGCTTTAGGCGTTTTAGGTGTTTTGCGTTTTGTTTGCGTTTTTTGGCGGGCGTTTCGCCCCTTTTTTGCGGGCGTTTTGCGGCAATTTGCGGGCGGTTCCTGTTTCTAGGAGTTTGCAGTAATTTGGGGGCGTTTGCGTCCAAAACAGGGTCAACGCCGAGAAAGACTAGGAATTCCTGGACGTTTGAATCTCCAGGGCCAACAAATGCTGACTTCGAGAGACAAAAGGGTGGCACTTTCGAGGTAGGAACGACCCGTGTCGTTAAGCCGGACACCACAAGAGAGCCTACTAGCATAAGGATGCGGGCGACCACCTGAAAACCAATTTTATGCCGAATTTGCCTGGCTCAAACCATTCAAATCCCAGGATGTTATTCAAGTTATTGTTCTCAATGTTGGTTCCAGCCACCACTACACGAAAACAACCGATAAAAGTTCGAAAGTTTGACAGCTTGATTTCCTCAATTTGCTTGAGTGCCCTGAATAAAATCTGTCCTGCAGCGCTAGGTTCCCTTTAAAAACCCATTGGGGAAAATAAAGCCTGTTCTTAACTGGGCTGCCCTCAGGTCCCCTGCTAAAAGTTTAACTTTTAATGGGCTAAATGGAAACTACCACTAAACACTAAAAAACTAAAACGCTAAGGGGATGGCTGGGAGCCACCAAGTTAAGCAGATGGAAGGTGTTGCACAACTCGGTGTGACGATCCCCAATCCCCCCCGTCCTTCTCGAAATCCGCCCGGCGCTTGGCCGCCACGAAGGTGCGCATGATGTGTATGGCTTTGGCGCGTCGCGCCTGCATCACCTGAACAAAAGGATACGACTCCTGTCGCGTTGTCTCGGTCCTCCAGTAGATAGTTTTTTTCCCCGTTTTCTTATTGTTTTTTCGGTAGTTTGTTTTAGTAGGGGCCCTCCCCCAAAAAAGGGAGAGAAGGGCACTACTGGGCAATTCAGTCCTGTAGGGGCCCAAGACCTACTTAGTTGAGGTCTTTGAAAAACCGAAGCCGTGATATTTTGGGTCGTGTTCTCCTAGGGTTCCTTCAATCAGATGTCATTGTTTAAAAAAGGAGGGTCTGGCAAAATGAGAACACTCCAAACTTAGGCCTCCCAAATGGGGCAAGTGCTTAAACATGGCCTGTTAAGCATCCATTCTTCCGCGAGAAAGCAAATCCTGGTTGATTAAAGTGTCGAAAAGACAGGGAAGACATCGGAGTTTTGTAGGATTATGTTAATGAAAAACCCTCGCTGCTCTTTGGTTGCTCACTACAGCAACCCGTGAACGAAACAGAGACAAGTTTGTGTGTGCGCGCGCGTGCGTGTATATTGATTGGTTTCCAAGCAGGCCCCTCCCAAAAAGGAGAGCACACTTCTTTGTCTGAGGATGGATGCTTGCTATAAATGAACACCCCAAACAAGGCCAACACATGTTTGGGTTTGGCTAACAGTTGGAGGGACAATTCAGACACAAACAGACACGTCCAAGGTGGATTTAACCTACTGGGCATCCAACCAGTAGGGATATGCCAAGGCCTCAATAATTAGGTCGTGGGGTCCTAGGTAAGGGTTACCCCTGAATAGTGGTAGTTTCCCACGGATGTGAGGGCAACCATGAAACAGCCAACAAGAAACGGCCCTTCGTCGCAATGGAAAAAGAAGAAAACCAACATTCCTGAAAGAAGAGCAAAAGAACAAAGATGAACAAAGAAAACAATCCTTCGGAGGGGATCCGGGAGCGGAAAACAAGAAAGGGAAGCAATGAAACAGGCCAAGACATCGTTGGATTTCTACACTGAGTAACAACTAGTTGGCACATTGACGCTCAAAAATACCCAAATTGACCAATTGTCTGCCATCTGCACCATTTAGGTCCCAGAGGCTAACTGATTGTATATGGGGGTTGTGCAAAATTACTTTGCCTGGGGACCCCCCAATCGCCGGCCAATTGCGATCCAATCGCGGCCCCACAGATTCCAATCGCGGAGCAACGTTGGTCATCGCTGCTGTTTCTATTCGCTTTTCGCTGTCTTATCTGAAGCGCTGGCCTTCCTCCATCCATACCTGGAAACTGGAAGGACGTGACGTAGCTCGGATGGGAAGGGCCTCGCTGGTGAAATTCGTCCAATCGCCGTCCAACTGCGGTCCAATCGCGGAACTCGGCGGCGAAACTTTGGTTTGCAGCTTCCAGTCTTTGCCAAAGAGCAGATTTAGACAGCACAGCCTGAACCTGGACAGGCGAAATCAACATACAGCTTTCAACAAGAAACTTTTCCGCGAGCGCGTGCAGTCAAAATGAGCGAGACGTGCGTCAGGAGCACAATCTAAACACCATGCAGCGTCTGAATTCACAATAATTGCGTTGCCCTTTCGCGGTCCAATCGCCGGCCTTTCGCGGCTCGAGTTTTTCCAATCGCGCGGTTCAACAAGTTGCCGCTGTTCATAAGTTTTAGACATGCAATTACGGACGGCCCCCATATACTCACGCCGAAATAAAGCCTAACTTGCGGCCCTTGGCCTGGTCTGTAGAACACGGTTTGGATGTGGCGAATCTGTGGATCTGTGGCTTCACCCCTGTAGGATATTAAAAGAGTTATAAAAGAGCACTAAAAAGGCACCACGGGGAAGAACAGGTGAACTCCGCAAAAGGCGCGAATCCAAACCATGTTCTATATAATCTTGGTTGATAACGGGCAAAACAAGGTCTCCGCAAAGGGCCGGCTCTGAAACGGATGATTGAATTTCTATAGCTTCCCAAGTTGCCATGGGAACCCCGTTGCCTGTTAAAACTTGAAAAGCCAAAGCGAACAAGAAACAAGCCCATCACTTCTAGGTACCACTATGGCAGGCAAGGGCAAGCCATGGAAAAACTTGGGACATAAAGGGGCCGCAGGTTTTAGTCCTTGTTTCCATTTGCCAGGGTTCTATTTGGGGTACCTTTTCACCCACGCCCATATCTTTTCTACACTAGCTTGCCTGGAAACGCTGGGAAGGAAGCAACTTCCTTGCTTGCTGTTCACCCCTCTGCAATTAGTTTCACTTTATCTGCGTCCAATTCGGAAACATCCGACCTGTTTCAACCAACAAAACAAGTTAAAGTCCGATCCAAGCAAACAGAAACCAACATCTAGAATCATCTGTTCGACCAAGCATCTGTTCAAAGCAAAGTAAAGAAACACAAAACATGGTTGCTTTCTGCTCCCCTGCTAAAAGTTTAACTTTCAGTGGTTTAATGGAAAACCCATTGATTGGCAAAAAGTTGAAGTCCTAACATCCAAGCAAAATGCGCCTCTGAAAACAGGGAGCTGAAACAAAACAAAGTATCGAAAGTTTCGCGAACAAATCCGCATCTGCCCAAGCAACGTATACAAAATGAACAAACAAATCACGTGGCTCAAACCAAATAAAAAGGCACCGAGATAAATCCGGGAAGAAATCCCGAATCACAACAAAAACGGGTTCCGAACATTATATATTAAAAATCAAAAACACAGAGCTCAAAAAAAAGAGAAGCGGCGCTGGTTTTTGTTTTTCGCGCGATCCTCGGCTTTTTCCGGGTGGCCAGTTTCGCGGCTTTCCCCACAGCTCGGATGGCCAGCTTCAGCGTGTCCCGCGAGGAGAGATGCGCCGGAGCCCTCTCGGTGCCCGGGTTCCGAAGGGGCGACGAAGGCGACGCAAACGGCGTGGGGTCGGGTCGGGAACTTAACCAATACCGTACGTTGATCTTTTACCCCGGAAAAGCAGGAGCCAAGATCAAAATCAAGGAGCCTGGTTTTGCGGGTCCTTGGAAGAAGGATAGACTTGGAATTGCGAATTCCACTGAGCTTCTATTGGTTTGCCATCTTTTTTTTTTTTTCGGGGCAGCAGCATTGATGAGCGTCCAGAAGAGGAAGAAAGCTGACCAGAACTTGACGACTCCATGCCGCAACACGGCTCGTCTTTTTCCCCCGCTGAAAGCTATGGATTTGGTCGAATTTCGCCCAAATAGGCTCGAAAGGTGGTTTGGGGCAGCCTTCAGGGAGGGTTCAAAACGAGGGTTTACTGGAACAACCTGCGTTTGTTTACTCCTTGTTTCGGGCTTCGCATCCCCTGAAAACAGGGGGTGTTTGGAGTAGGAGCACTCCCTCGGGGCTAGGTACACCAGGAGCAGATTGCCCAAACATGGTTTGAATATCTAACTGGTGGTTGAGTGCCTACTTTCACGAAGAGAAGAAGAAGATTGCCCTTTTATCGGAAAAAAAAAAGGCTGAACAACTGGTGAGGGGTCAGAAACCCAAGTCAAAGCCCAACCCCTCTTCAAGGATAAAATGAGAATTTCGTGTGCCCAAATGGAAACAACGAGGGGGATCACGCGGATGCACGTTTACTTCGACGCCTATCTAGCTCCTGAAATGAGAATCAGGGCTGAGTGTCAAGGATGGATCTGAGTGTGTCTTATTTTGGGGTACCCATTTTGGGTGGATTGAAAGGGAAGCTAAAAGAAACACCGCCATTTGTGGCATCCCCTAAAATAAGCCAAGATAGTATCCCCAACAGCCGGAACTTCCTGGAACCGGGGGGGCGGGGGTTGGGAAACAACTAGTATTTATATATCTTTCTTAGCTTCATATTGCATGATATTCACTCTTTGGCTGTTGACTTCTGGAATTGTCAACCCCTTACAGTACCAAAACTCAAACATTCTTCCTCGAACTCGCCTAGTGAGTCTTGGAAATTTGGGTTGACTTGTTTTTTAGTGGACCCACCAAAATGGGACTTGTTTTAGCATTTGGACCCCCAAAATGGTGCTCCTGTTGGCTTCCATTTAAAGCCACAAAAATGAGGCACCCAAGAAGAGACACACACACACACAAAAGGGAACAAAAGGGGAACCCTCAATCGCCGGCTCTCTTCGAACATCATAAAGGGATCTCTCATGTTCGGAATGAACAAAGCTCAACGACTAGCTATGACAGCTATGAGGGTGTGCCTTTGGAACAAGCTATACAACACATAGCTGGAGTTTAGCCGGAAAAAAGGCGGTTTTGCAGTCAATTGCCTTTGGTACCCCAAGAGTGTACCCTCAGTGAACGACATGAGTCTGGAAAACACAGCGCCCGGATTGTTATGATATCAGATCTACATGTGGTTGTGAGCTTGAATACCCTTTGGTGGACATCATTTGGGTGGGCACACGTCCCGCAACGACTTTGGAGGTGGCTCCCTTCAGAAACTCATAGCCATTTGTGGGTGCTTCTCAAACACCTCGGTAGGAAATGCTACATGTCGATTTGACTCTAGTTGTTATTTTCTACACCCCCCAGTTTGAGGGCCCAAAAGCCTGTGCTTGGTTCCCGCTAGAAATGAAGTGCCAGCCACAGCCCATCATTTTCACAAAGCCACCCGCCCACTCAACAAAGAAACATTGATCAAGGAAAAAATATGGAAGCACCGGTATCTGGCTGTGGGTCAGAAATGCGTACCGAACATGGAACTCTGGTAAATGGAACCAAAGACTGAAAATATGCGGTCCAATTCCTGGTGGTTGATTTTTGACCCATGCCCATCTCATCTTCCAAGCATCCAAAGAATTTTGGTACCCTAAGCCTGGGACACCCATCGAATTGGAGTTTTTGGGGCAAATTGCCTCTTTCCGCGTGCCCCAAACTGTGGGGTGGAAAGGGCGCCCCCCGACTTTGGAGCCACACACCCAGATAAATCTGTCGCTTTTGTTGAGGCACTTGTTTTTCGTTGTTGTGTGTGCTTTTTTGGAAAGGGAAAGCAGCAAGAAACACAAATTCATTCTGTGGGGGGTCCAAATCCCCCAAAGGAACACAGATTTGCTTTGGGGGGGTCCAAGTCCCCAAAAAAGACAGGCCCATAAAACAATCCTTCTGTGTTTCTCAGGCTACGGACACCATGCGGAGACATGTAAACGCACAATTCCAAGACGCAAAAGACACAAATAAGGTTGCCTCCAAACTGCGCCCAAGGAGACTCACTTCGCCTTGGCAGTGAACCACCCTTTATGAGGACATCTGGGGAGCCCAGTGGATCCAACAAAAAACACTCAAATAATTTGGTGTTTAAGTTTACCTCTGCCTGTTTGAGTTACCTTGCCTTATACGTGAAGCTTTGTCAACAGCAAATGGCCCGCCCTTTCTTCGTCTCCCCTTCGCAAGGCACGAGGCCTTGCGAAGAAAAGAAGAACCGGTTCCAGAAAGGGTCCATATCTTTGGCCACATGTTCAGTAGCTCCAAAAGTGCTGGGTTGTTTAAACATAGAGGCACAGGGATCCGGATGCATTATACACCTGAACATTGCAACTTGTAAATGGTGGTGTCCCTTTATTTTGGTGTTGAAAAGGCAACATGTTTCAAATGGTTGCAAAATGAGTTTTGTTTAAGGAGCCCTGAGGCACCTCACAAAATGGCGGGCTCCCCTGTGTGCTAAAACGCAGCCGGCCACGGTTGCCTCATCATCATGGCCCGCCGAGCAGAGCTGAAGGTCTTCCTACGCCCCGTCCCCTATACAAATGGCGTGTGCTTTTTTGGGTCCATGTTGATCTGGGGGGAATGGGGGGGGGGGGGGCAAAAGGGGGTTCCCGCAGAAGGAGACTCCTCTATAGCATGGCGAATTTGTTCGGGTCCATGCTGATCTGTCGGGGGCAAGTGTTAGTAGAACCACCGTTCTTTAGCGTTCAGGAGTAACTCATGATCTCAATTTGCCCCATTGGCCGCCGTCTTGATGGGAATCGTTTGAACTGTGGCATTTCTCGCCTTTAAGTCGATTGTATATTTGGGGTGGACTAACAGGGATCCGGATGCATTATTCTCCTGAACATTGCCTTGTAAATGGTGGTTTCCCTTTATTTTGGTGGAAAAAGCCATGTTTCAAATGGTTGCAACATGTATCTTTTAAGGAGCCCTGACCAATTATGTAAGAAACAAAATCACGAAAGAACTGTGTACCGAGGCAACCCTTTTGGTAAAACCAAGGTACAACACCCACGGGAGTACCTCCCACCGCAAAACCTACTTCCATGATTGTTGGAAAGAGGGTGGCGGGTCGTGACCTGGTGGGTCCTGGTGGTATGACTCTCTAAAAGCAATTAACCAGCTTTCTATTTGGTATACATTATTGTTTCAGGGAGTATATGCATGGACACAAATGCTTGAATCCATTGGTGAAAACCAGCCATGCGGGCCTAATACAGCCATGGGTTCCGTTTGGAGCCTTTGGTGGGCATTTGTGACAATGACCAAGACGCGTTAGTAGCTACAAGTAGTGCAGACTTGACCAGACTTAGACCCGCACAAAGTTTTTTGCTGGTAAGGAAAATGAAGGAAACCCGAAAATGCAAATAAAAAAACAAAAAAAACGTCAGCCTTTGGTCTGGCAACTGGGTCAACGCATTTTCTCTGGCATCATGTGACCTATGGACTAAGCGTTGGCTGAGAAGTGGTGGCACTCCAAATCGGCGTGGTTTCCGCGGAAAGCGGAACAGGTCTCGCCACGTACCCAGATAGTCTGCGTACCATGGTCAACTGGTCAAGAACTTAGCACGTGCTGAGCGCCCTGGCTGACCAAACAGGTCATGGTACTCATGAAAATGTGTTGTTCAACATACACCCTGATCGAACACGTGTTCAAAATACACCCTGAACAAGTACACAAAACAGAGAATATACATTTCTGGGCTGTCCTCAAATCCCCCACTAAAAGTTCAACTTTTAGTGAGTGAAACGGAAATCCCCACTAAACACCAAAAAGCTAAAAGGCTAAGGAACCGGATGGCTGGGAGCCACCAAGATTTGGAGTACCTTGGCGGGCTTCCGCGTGTCTCTCTCCGCAACCAAATCGCTTTCTCGAATTCGCTGTCCTGATGAGTTCAATGTCGCGCGCGGGCGGTGGAGCGGCGTCCTGAGATGCTTCCCCCGAGTTGGCGGCTGGGAGCCCGCTTGCCCCCTACAAAAGCCAGGGACCCGTTCAAATTGCCAAACCACCCAATCCTAAACACCAATTGAGGGTTACTCTGACTTTTGGCTTCCCTTGACACCCCAAGAAGCGCAACTTAAAACAAAACACGCACCGAGACATTTTCCGAGCTGCGCCTTCCATGTCCATTCTCCTCAGGGATATTTCTCTGAAAATCGTACCAGTATATACATATATATATAGTGTATATATATATATGTATAGGTATATATATATACATAGGTATATATATATATATATGTACGTTTTAGATTTTACGAATCTTGGGACCTCAAACGCCCCTCGTTGTTTTCTCCTTATTTGACGTTCAACCCATTCCAATGGAGATCCAGACCAGGGTTCAATGATGCTTAGGGTAGATCCAACACCTAAAACAAGAAATCTCCACGAGAGCTTGGTTTACCTGGTGAGCATTCAGGAAAAAGATGATGCAGGGGACGGCAGGGGAAAGCAAAATTCTGGTTGGGCACGAGTCCGTGCTTTGGGACCTTAAATGGTCGGTGTCTCTCTGATTTCCCTCTAACACAATCCGCACACCCAAAGGGCGCTGTGGGTCAAAACCAATGGTACCATTTTGGGGTAGGCGCACCACCACCATTGTAGGCTTTAGTGGGGATTGGGATGTTCACTTGGGTTTTGACCCATGGCCATTTCACCATGTCGTGTTCGGAAGCAACCAGAGACTCCAACCATACAGCCTTCGATGAGACCCGCGAGTTGACAGTCCCTTTGAAGAGGGGCCTGGAATCTCCATGACCCTTAAAAAATGGGTCATAACCCTTTGTGGGTAATGACCAACCATTTTTTAAGGGTCGTGGAGACTCCAGGGTGTGCAGGAAACCAGAAGGCTCTTGCGAATCCTGCCGGGACCCGTTACGTTCGCTCAAGTTACCAAACATGGCGTTTCGGCAGGGTCGTTGACACGACTGGGCTCAACCCCAAAGGCCCCTAAGCCCAAGCATGTGCCATCAAAATGGGCCTTAAGGTCCAAAGCCTCCCGACGGTCCGGCGCGGAGGGTCCAATGACGGTGCTTCCACTTACCAGTGGAGATTTCAGAACACATATGACTCCTAAAAGTGGCTGGTTTTCCTTTGCTGGGCTGTTCAAAATGGAGGGTTGGCCAATCCCAATCCATAATCTTTCAAAGGGAAGCCAGTACAAAGGGGACCCCTTACGGAACCCAAGGGAAGGATAAAGGATTACACTTGAGCGGCCCAGCTTCTGGTTCCCTTTCAGTACCAACAAAACGCTGGTCCCAAGTGAGCTGTCGCGAACTCATAAATTGGCGTTCTGCAGGGGCTTGCACATCGCATCAGTTTCCAGTCCATGACTGTCACCTCAAAAAGACCACCTCAAGCAACCTGCGCATCTTTCCTTTCCGTGCGGGTAATACCCCGCGCACCCGCCCGCTCGCTTGTTCGGAGGGTCCGGCTTCTCTTCTTCAACGACAGTTTTCCTGGCAGGCTGAACATTCGCTGAGTGAAACACACAAGAAGCAACCTGAGGTCTTTTGGGGACTCAGTGCCTTTTTTTGTGTTGCTTTACAGGATCAACAGCACACACAAGTTGGAGTTTCCATGTTTGGACACAAACCCAGACTGAATTCAAACATGTAGGTCTGTTAGAACACCCTTGCTTGGTACAAAGGTCTGCTGGGCATTGTCTCAGCCCCTTCTGCGAGACAAAGTATTCTCCGTGGGAGCTTCTTGTTGCTCAAACCTCACCAGTTCCGATCCGGTGGAAAAGCTACATGATCCAGAACCAAGTCCTTCACACCTCCTTCACCCTAATGTTCACTCCCCATTATGGTTCACCCAATTGAAACTCCTGAACAGAAAACCCATTGGTGTTTTGAACCCTATCAGTTATCACTGGAATCATTTTGTGTGCCGTCGATGGACATGGTCCTCTGAAACTTGCTGATTCAGGAATCAAGAAGCCCGTTTTGGCAATGAACAACTCACTAGGTCCTCCAGTCGAGAGAGCTTGGAATAAGGGTACCGTTTCTTTTTTCTGTCCATTTTAGACTCGGGGAACCCAAAACCCCAAAAAAAGAAACGAGTGAGAGGTCGGGCACTGGGGGACCTAGTCTAAATGCCGGAACCCAAAACTGTGATTGTCCCCCTTTGGTTTCGCTTTAAAGCCATCCAACATGAGTACCTCCAAACCCATGTGCCGCTCGCCTCCACCCATTGGTGGTTTGAACCCTAGGGGTCCGCCACTGGAACCATTTTGTGCCGATGGGGACCTAGAATCGGGATCCGATCGAGCGGAAGCTGAGATTCAAGATGTGGGTGTCTCTGTTTTGGAGTCGGACCCCCCGAAATGGCCCAACGGTGACCTCCTTTTTGGTGTCCCTTTAACACCCGCAAACGCAGGCAGCACACCCAATGTCGGTGTGTCTTTTTTTGGGGGGACCCCCAAAATGGTCCCCCTGAACCACGAAAACAGGTACCAACTCAAAAACAGAATGCACCCATTTGCACCCAGGTCACTTCTTGCTCTTCTTCCGCTTCACCATAGAGGCCTTGCGAACGTGAATCGAGCATCGAGTCCTTGCTGGTTCGTCTTTGTTTTGGGAGGAGGCATCCTTTTCCGTGGCTGTTGTGCAAGGAGCAACTACAAAACAACTGCACATGTAGGGGAATCCATCTTTAGAGAAAAAACAAAAACATGTTGTGTGTGTGTGCCATGACATTGGATTTCGGCGAACTTCCATTTCCAAGTCGCGGGGTGGTAAGTCCTGGTAAGTGTACTCAATGTTATTATGTTGGCTACAGTAGATATACCCCATACTCCAAATATCTTCTTTTAAGGTTATCTTTTTGAACATGTTTTCCATGGTAAATACCGCCTGTTTTAGCAACGGGTTGACATGATGCCCTCACAAAGGGGTATTTGGAGTATATAGGGGGTATACATCTGATTGCGCAAGCCAACCAGGATTGCAGGTATTGAACCTTTCCCTGGTTGCAGTAAGTTTTCACTGGTCTTCCCTAGAATCTAACGAACCTGGGTGAAGCAAGTGATTCATACCCCTACAAGTACCCAAATTATTCTGACGGATGACGTCAGCCCCCTGACTACCAAAGATCGTCTACCCGGCGGCGTCCCTTTTCCCGAGAGCTAACCAAGGGAAACCATGAAACCATAGTTTGGCCAAAAAGGCGCATGCCAAAAGTCCTATGTGTTAGATTCCGTTTCATACTGAATGTGGGACAGAACAGACTCTGGGTGGGACCCTCTTTAGTGGACAAGGGGGCCATTGTTCTTTAGCAGGTCCAATATTCGTCTACCCAGAAATACATTTTTTGTTGGAGACACCGGAGATTCCCGGGCTTTTTCTCCCATGGGGGTGTTTCCGCCGCTCAGAACTTTCCGCCAATCCGGACAATGGACTGGACCAAATCCACCAGTTGCCGCTTTATCCAAGTTTGCCCAAGGTTCATCCATCGCACCTGGTGGATTTTGCATGATTTTGTCCATCCACAGTACCTGGAGTCTCAAACCTGACCCTGTAAACTAACGGTTGGTCATTGCCCAAACTTCAGGGGTTACCCCTTTTTCTGTGGGTGAGAAGGAGACTCTAAGTACCGATGTTCACTCACCGCTAAAATCGGCGAAAGGTCAGGAAGCTGGAGAAACACGGATGGAATCACTCGCGAAACACCCCCGCCCTCCCTCTGCGAGCGAGCTCCTAGCTATAAACTCGATTGCCGTTGGCCCCCCCTGCAATGTGTGTGTGTGTGTGTGTTTTTTTGTTTTTTTTAACAAAAAACAAAAAACTGTTTGGGGGTTTAGTGGAAAAAACGCCGCTTGAGTTCCACCAACAAGTCGAAGAAGTCCAAAGATCCAATGCCAAGAGCAATCAAGAAACCACCCATTTTAAAGGCACCTGATATTAATCGGCCCGGTGCAAACATGCCAAAACCACCAAAAAGAAGGTCGGCGCAGCCAAGCGAACTCCCTCCAGCGCCCCGACTTCGAGGCTCCGGGGCCGCGGCGAAGTCCACCGCCGCCTTGAAGCTCGGCCGCGCCGAGCCGCTGCGCCCGGGCGCCAGAGACGTCGACGCATCGGCCTGGCCCGGCTCCGGGGGCGCTATCCATTTCGCACCACCGTTCAGAAACCCTGGAAGGATTTGAATCCCCTGTAAATACCAATAAACACGGGTTTCAACCATGGTTTCCAAGTGGTGCAGGATTTTGTCCATCCACTAAACCACAAGAAGCAAAAATGTAAAATGTTTCTCAACAACAACCATGATATAAGGTTTACCCCATATCAACCGGTGTACCCCATACTGTGGATGGACGCGAAATCCCAGTTCGCACCACTTTGAATGCACGAGAAACCATTGGGTGGTTGGTAGAAAAAAGGGGAAGCATGGGAATCATCATCAGTTCAGGGTATCTTGGGTGGTGCAGGATTTCGGCCATCCACAGTATTAATCAACCCCAGTTTATTAACAGGGGGTTGAGTGGGCATTCACTTTTGGAGGGGAACCCTATGAAGAAACTGGGGTTGAGTAGTCCGGGGTCAACATTACCCCGCACAACCCTTTGGTGTGGGCAGACCAAACCCAGCTCGCACCACATGGGTTTTTGAACAAACCCACTTCCTTCTCTTCCCTTGTTTTCAGGATGGGTTTCCATTGAACAAACGAGACCAAACCACTGCTTGTTGCTACTTACAGAAAAATCGAATCTTTCCAAGGTTTCTCAGAAGTGGAGCAGGATTTTGACCATCCACAGTATGGTAGCAAACAGCTTTGATTCTTGCAGCCCCCTACTAAACATGAACAGAACCCCCCAAAAAACAATGCCAAGAACCATGAAGAAGAGGTTTCGGTTGCCCCTATACCAAGAGTTTCCCCTATGATGTAGTCGGCCTTTTGGACAAAATGACGGCTTCTGTGGCTTAAACCAATCTAAACCTTCGGGATTCCATCTACTTCTCTCACCAAGCCGAGCGCCAACAAGCGGTCCGTACCTTTCTTCGCCATCCAACCCGAACAATCCATGTGTGCAAGAAACTTACTCACATTTGCCCTCCAAATAGGTCAAATGTTGATATATGAATACACAAATACATATATATATATATATATATAGAATACATATATATATATATATATATGGTCACCCCCCCCTGCATGACCTACCGTTGTCTTTCAAAAAGTCGTTGGGGACCATTAGCAGACAATAAAAAAGTGAAAAAACACCTGTTTTTTTATGGTGTTCGATTAAAAAACAACACAGTCAACCATTGAACAATTAAGAAAAACCAGTGTGTTTTGATGGTTTTAGCAAAACATGTGCAAAAACCCATGTTTTGTTTTTTAGAAAACACAGGAAAGCATTCAAAAAAACAAGTGTAAAAACTGATATGTTTTTCAGATAGATCCCTAAGTCAAAAACTAAGAATTCCCTGGGTTTTTGATGGTTTTGCAGTAAACCCTTCAGAATTCCTTGGGTTTTTTAGCATTTTTCACATAAAACCAAGAAAACCTCAAGAAAACCAAGAATCCAAGAATCCAAGATTTTCAGGTAGATGTTTGATCCACTACAAAATCTTGGATTCTTGGTTTTCTCGAGGTTTTCTTGGTTTTCTTGGTTTTACTTGGGAATTCTTGGATTTCCAGCAAAAAACCAAGATTTACTAGGGTTTTTTTGGATTTCCAGCAAAAAAACCAAGGATTCCCAAGTAAAACAAGGAAAACCAAGAAAACCTCGAGAAAACCAAGAATCCAAGATTTTGTCGTGGGCCAGACATCTACATGAAAATCTTGGATTCTTGGATTCTTGGTTTTCTCGAGGTTTTCTTGGTTTTCTTGATTTTACTTGGGAATTCTTGGATTTCCAGCAAAAAACCAAGAATTACTAGGGTTTTTTGGATTTCCAGCAAAAAACCAAGATTTACTAGGTTTTTTTTATTTCCAGCAAAAAACCAAGAATTCCCAAGTAAAACAAGGAAAACCAAGAAAACCTCGAGAAAACCAAGAATCCAAGATTTTGTCGTGGGCCAGACATCTAACACAACAGAAATACCAGCACCAACTGAAGACGAAGAAGAAGAACCACAAAAAGATAATTTTGAAAAATTGAAATCTTAATAATAGCATATATAATGGGTATTGGTAAAAGTAAAAATAATGAAAATAATAGTTTGGAAGACATTAATAATTTAAGTATAGATGAAAAAACACGAGCAGACACTTTAATTATTAAATCTCTTCAAGAATGTGTGACACGAATTGAGAAACTAGAGAAAGAAAAATCTGACAAATTAATATATAAACTTCCTGCCTTACAATTTTGCAATGCTTCGTTAATTTAAATTAATAATATTAACATATAATAATATTATTGATTGCTATCATAATCTGTCATTTTATCCTCTGGTATTGTTGTTGAAGTAGTACTACTTATATCATCTATTAAATCTTCTTCATCAACAAAATTATTTTGACATCTTAATAATTCCTCGTCTGTTGCCCTTCTTTTCAATACTTTATAAAGTTTATGTATCCAACAAATAGTATGAAAATTACAATTACCTCTACGATAAAATCCACCACATCTACATAGTTTCATTGGCATATTACTATATTATATTAAATTAGAATATCTTTATTCATCATTCGTAATTTGAAATGCCTGTTCAAATCTGATATGAAACATTTTGTTAATGTCTTTAGCATTCATATTCACGTAGAAGAAACTATAAGGTGCGTCATTAACGGCTTGATGATCCATATCTAATAATTGCTGTTTATCAACAATGGCGCTATTTTCTTCAATAAAACTCATTAACTCACTTGCATTTTTCAACCTAATGAACTGGCATTTAAACGAATGATAGGCACTAAAACATTATATTTTGTGTTGAACAAATTACACTTACTGCATCGTGCCTGCCTTGTAAAAGTCCGTGTAATAATTTACTATATCTAACAAATTTAGGATCGTCTGCGTGGTCATCTACAACGATGAATATTGAATGCGTGGTCATCTATAACGATTAATATTGAATGTAGTTTCTTTATCTTTTTAGACTTCATATAATTAATTATTTTCTTCTGTCTTTCAATTACATTTCCTAAATCACTTGGATTATAATTATCAAAATAAATTTGTTCTTTTTCATCATCCACGTGCAATTCATCCCTGATGTATTTTTTAACTTCTGTAAAAGTTGGGTCATTATGAACGCTGGGGGAAAATATAAATATTCTTGCAAATGATTTTCTATAAACATTCAAGATAAGGTTTTGGACTAAAACTGTTTTGCCTCCCGTCGATGAAGCAACTATAATACTTCTAAATGGTAATTTTAGCACGTGCTCATATTTGGATTGTTTGAATTCATATTCAGTTATGTTTATTGGTTTCCTTATTGGGACATCTGTCATAGTTGATATTAAAGCAATATAGAAAATTATATTTAAAAAAACAACTTGTCATTAATATTAAATGGAACATCATTATGTTATGAGTGGCGGTGAATAACATAATGGAACAGGTTTTCCATTGCTTCAATCAATAAGCATTGAAGATAATTAGTTTTGTGTTTTGCTCGCGTGTGCAATGAAAACCAAGTGCTGTGCCCCACCAATAGCGATGAAGGGAGGGGCAAATGATAGATGAGATCCTGCTTTTTTTAGCTAAAAGGTAGGTCATGCAGGGGGGGGTGAGCATATATATATATATAATACATATATATATATATGTATACACCCCCCATCCTCCAACTAATATGGCGTCTGAAAGGGTCCCTTGAAACTGACATTGATCTTCCAGGTACCTCCCCACAGGTGCCATGTTAGACGCAGGGAGGGTATATATTACCCACATGGATTATCTGGGAAAATTCAAGCTAAACAGTACCTGGAGTCTCCTTCTGACCCTTTAAAAGTGGGGGTCATTACCCCAAATTAAGGTTTCATGCCCCTTTTTCAAGGGGTCACAGTGGCACCACCTAATTGCATTCGCATCTCCGTGTCTCCGTGCACCTCGGGCGCAACCGATCTGCAGATCAGTTGCAACCAGGTTGGATCGCCTTTCCCGAGGCGCCCAAGACCTCATTTGATTTTGTCCATCCGCCCATCCAAAGGCATTCGGGGAACTTGAAAGCAAATGATTGGGGAGGGCATGTTTGACAAATCCCAGGTTTGAAATAAATAGAATGGGGCTGCGGGGTACTATCAAACCAAACTCATTTTCATACTTCTCAAAACGCATGACTGGTGTGCATCGTCGCCGTGGCACTCGAGCGGACTCCCAAAAGGTTTCCCTTCAAACCAACCCAAAAAAGGGTACGTTCAAAAGACAAAGTGGATGGAAGAAATCCCTTTCGGACCACCGAAGAAATCCTGGTTTCTGATTCCCCCTGTAAATACCAACCAATAATGGTTTCCCTTGGTTTCAAATTGGTGCAGGAATCTGTCCATCCACAGTATTATCAACCTCAGTAAACAAAGCCGGCAGATTGATGCACACGAACCAACAGCGAAGCCACGCCTGGGTTGGAGAAGCCTCCTTCTTGCCCGCCAAAGCTTTCAAGAACAGCGACGCCTTGCATTCGGAAGTGGGGACTGATCAACATTCCGGGCCCCCAAATATAATGGGTAACTTTTCCCATTTGGTGAGAAATGCTGTATCGTCTTTTTGGTGGTTTCCCCCAATGGTCATTCCATGTTAATGACCTTTAGATCAACCCGCGAGTCTCAATTACAAAGCAGCCAAACCAGCAGATTCTGAAGTTAAAGGGACTTGTTGGTGGGCATTTGGAAATCCAATTGCCTGTGGAGATTCCTGTAGTTGGTTTCTACAAACTTGGTTGCTGTTGACCCCTGTGCAAAAAAGGAAGACCCCTTTCTTTCAACCAAAAAAATAAAGTCTAAACTGGCAATCAAACAAACGTCTCAAATTGACAGGTTTGTTAAAAACCACCTTAACGTGAAAAATACCCAAGCGCTGCCTCGCATACAGTTTGGCTTGGGACGACCAACTACAATAATGCGAGGGGATTCTAACTAACAGACCTCACATTCAGCGCATCATCAGAGGCTTCGTCTCCAAGATAATGGTTGCTTCTGAAACGATCAAAAGCGAGGCATTATCCCATATCTCGACACCTTTCTAGCGGGTTCGGTTTGGAGCTATGGATGAATTTCTAACGGAATCGGAAACAGCTTGCCGGGTTGCTCATTTTCAAACTGATATTCCTGAAATCAGGGACCTTGGTTGTCCAGGGGGACGGCAGTATCCAACCCCCAGTTGTGAGAACCTGGATGCATTGCAGGTTAAAAGGATCCTCTCTGATGGGAAGTTTCAAGTTGCGTCATAATCAAAACCTAGACTTCAAAAGGGTCTACCACAAGCCTGTAAGGAATCTCCACGGCCGCGGTCATCTATCTCTAGCACCCGTCTCCTACATCATCCATCATGGCTTCGAAGAGCTGTGGAGGGGGTAATCCCTGGAGATAGCCAAAGATAAGGCCCCGAAGCCCTAAGGGTTGCATAGATGAAGCTGCCCAGTTGCTGAGTTTGCCCAGGAATTTGGAGTCTTCGATTCGTAATCAACACCTGGTATTGAAATGGTCTACAGTCTTTTTGTAAAAAGACGGATTCGAATCCGCAAATGTTTGTCTGGCTGACGTCCTTTTACTAACCTTGATATACCTGAGGTTGATTGTTCCTCTCTTCCAAGATCCTTTGAGTATACGAGAATCAATTCTGCCGCGAGTCACAATCAAAACCCGGTACAAAAACGGTCGACCCATGTAAAGAACTAAGAAGGCGGATATCCGCAGCTATTTATGACTGGGATCCTCCCTTACTAACCTTCACTTGGCTGTGGCTGTAGAGAGTGGTACCAAAATGGCAACCTGGTAAATGGAACCAAACACTAAAACCCGCGTAACCCCAGCTGTTTAATTGTGAGCCATACCCACTTGCCCGGGTTTTGATTGCGGCTCCCGTGAGGATTCTTGGGGTTCAAAGTGCCGCAAGGGGATGGAGGCGTCTGAGATCTCAAAAATCAGGCGCGCGCGCGCGCGCCTTTGCAAGGCCTGGTCGCGGACGCTCCTTGCGACAACTGTCCAGTGACATGATCCAGTGCGCTGTGAGCGCCCAAACCCCCCGTGACTCAAGATGGGCAATGCTTCTAAACTGAATATGAAGATTGGGTGCTACACTATTTCGGGAATATTGCTTGCGCTGGATTGGATTTTTTTCCAGTCCCCCGGGCAAGCAAGCAAGCAAACAAGCAAACAAGCAAGCAAGCAAGCAAACAAGCAAGCAATGAAGCACCCTGAACCCCGCCGGTATACTTTTAAACACAAAACCACCTACCTTACACCTGCCCCGATCCACCTCTGACCCTAAACGCACCCAAAACCTACCCTTCACCTACTAAAAACGCACACCCTAAACACCCGATCCGAAACCTCACCAAGCCCGCCTTTATCCTCAACTCAACCAACCCAACCAACCCAAACTCCATCTGAACCCACCCCTAAACCAATCCTAAACCGACCCACCTAAAGCAACCGCAAACACACCCTAAACCAGCTTTAAGCCAACTCTAAACCTACCCAGAAGCCCGCCTACACACCCGCACGCCACCCTAAACCCACAACTCTGAACCCCTAAGCCCACACAAAACGACCCTACACCCACCCCGAACCTAACTTAAACCAACTCTGAACGACCCCGAAGCCCACCCTAAACCAACGCACCCTGAACCTGAACCCACCCCAAAAACCAAAACCAAAATCCGCCCTAAACCAACCCTGAACACCTTAAACCACCCTACAAGAGCCTAGATGCCTGTCGCTCAGCTTGCTTTCATTCTCCTGTCCTGTTTCACTAAGGCATCCGCCAAGTATCCTCGTGAAGGTGGCGGTTCATGCACCAAGGACGTCCTGGATAACGGTAACCCCGAACGCACCCCCAAACCCACCCTACCCTAAACCAATAACCTGCCCACCCCAAACCCATCCTAAACCTACCCAACTAAACCCAACCGAACCTACCCGAGGCCTACCCTAAGCCTAGGACCTTGAACCCCGTATACCCTAAACCCAACCAACTCTGAACCCTACCAGAACCACACTAAACCCACCTTAAACCCACCTTAATCCTCAACCAAACCAACCTTGCGCGAACCCAAGCTCCATCTGACCCTCAACCTAAGGCCTCAAACCGCCCCAACCAAACCCGAACCCCCAACCACCCTAAACCCTAAGCGCGGCGCAGACCCACCTTAAAGCACTCCAAAGGTGACCGGAAAATGGAACGAAATTCCCAAAAGCGCTGAAAAAAAAGGGGGGAAAACAAAAACACATTATTTTGACTGTTTCTGGGGAAGGTCAAAGTCAGACATTTGGGTGGTTCCCTTTACCCCACCAATTGGGTGACTTTCTGGTCAAATAATGGGCCCGGTGATAGGGTAGCAGAACCAGCTACTAAAATGGGTACCGGGTTGGGCACTGTGAGTTCCACAATCCACTGTCCATTATATCGATACGCAATGGAGCAAGAAAGCAACACAGACCACAGGACCTGAGAATAAAGAGCTACGTCTGGAACCTTGACTAAACACGGACCACTAGAAAAACCCAAAGGTCAGCGATTCGCTTTGGGCAACTGAGACTCTGCTGGTTTCCCCCTCTTCTTGAGTGGATGCGCCAAGAAAAGTCCAAACTTTTTGTTTTCCACCAAAATGGGATCTCCAAAACGTTTATCCAGGAACTCTGGAAGTGTGTTCCTCAAGATGGCATCGGCTATTTATTGAGTCCCCGCATGTGTGTGGAAAGCTTGTCCCTCCCCCCCCCAATTGGCTATGAGACGTTGAACCCTGGTAAGTGGAAACATGGACCAAAACCTGCGTAACCCCTCCTGTTTAATTTTGAGCCAACCCCAAATGTATTTGTGAGAACTCCTCAAAATGTTAAGGGATCCAGAATCAACTATACTGGCTGAACCTATTGCAAGACTGGGTCCGGCAAAGCGACATCTTCAAACATTGCCATCTGAGTGGTGGTTTAAAGAAGTTTCCCACCCCTCAAAAGTGAATGTTTGAGAATCAAATTGTTGAACCAGCCCCCGCAAAGGATTTTGTGGCAAGCCCTCAAACTGTTTAACACCGGGTTGCTTCAAGGGAAACCAACAGGAAAACCACAACTTTTGGGGGTCCAAAATCCTCAAACACAAACGCCGATATGTTTCGAGAATTCAACAAAGAAAACTCAAGTGCCATTTGCTTGTCCCCTGGTAAAGCTCTCAGCAAATTTCACGTGATAGATTAGATTCCCCACAAGAAAAACAGCGGAAAACAGATAAGCTAAGCAAATGGGCGTGTCACGTCTTTTTGAGGGCACCCCTGAAAATTATGCTTTCCTTTTGGCTTCCCTTTAAAACCCACCACTAAAAAGGTCCCCGCACACAAAAAAAAGGAACAACAGAAACACAACAACACGAACACCCCCCAAAACTTGAACCCAAAAGCCCAGTCAAGACGTGCCCAAAGGCCTTGCCCGCAGAGCTTGGCCTGGCCGAGAAAGTCGGTTCCGGAAAGTTCTCCGCGTTCGAGGGCGACCCGCGCTTCCGGTCGTGGAAACCAGCCGGGAAGTCGCCCCTTTTAAACATCCATTTCCCTTGAACATAAGCATGTCCAGTGCTAGATGCCCTTTAGAAACCAACAGGGGAAAATAACAAACACATATTCTCAAGCAAAGGAAAAGAGTACGTACTCCCGAAACGTCAGGTTCCTTGATAACCTGGACCGGAGGGCTTCTGTTCTATCTACCTTAAATGCGCTAAACAAAGCTCTAGCCGTACCTCCCCGATTCCCTTGGGAATCTTGTCTTAAGTAACCCTTGGGGAAATGCGCGGCTTCTCCATTGAAAACGAGTAAAAAGAACGGAGAAGCAAACCGAGAACGGTATGGAAAGAGAGGTCGGGATAGAAGCTTGATCGGGGGCAGTACTAGAAGGCGAATCGTTGTGAACTGGAAACAGAATGGGACACCGAAAAGCCATGGTTCCCTCTGAACATCTAACCATGCTCTTTCTACCTGAACTCACCTGGGGGCTGGAGGCAAATCATTTTACATGAGAAAGCTTGGTTCTGCAACTCTAAGACTGAAGTTGGGGTCGCGAAAATCAGAGGCTTTGTGTTTGTTTAGAATAGAGAGGACACGTTTGTGTTGCGAACTTTTGGGACTTCGAACAAATTTGTAATCGGCGCTCTAAAGTGGTGGTTGTCCTTTTGGTTTCCCTTTAAACCAACCCCAAAAAAAAACTCAAAAAAACAGGCAAGCCAACAACATCCATGCAAATTTTCAGAACCCCGAGGCCCACTCCGCTGCCATCAATTGACCCTACAAGCAAATGAGCCTTTTCTCGGTAATCCATTTAAGGCTGTGTCTCAAATAGGAATTGGACACCCCCAAAACAAGGCTTCAATTTGGCTTCCCCGGCTCAAGGCGCAAAACAAAAAACAAAAAGCACTGGCTGCAAAAGACCGGCGAGGTGCAAAGGATGTGGGTGTGGCTCAAAATCAAGGAGCTAGGGCAAACCGCGGGCTTTCGTCTTTGGTTCCATTTACCAAAGGGCCATTTTGGTACTTGTTTTTGCGAGCCACAGCCATGTAGCAGACGTGGACTTCCAATGCTTCCTTTAAAACCTGAAGACCCACCAAAGACAGGCCCATGGCACCTGGCCTCAGTAATCGTTGAGTTTTGCAACACGGAACACCTGGCCTCAATGATCATGTCCACTTGATTTGCTCTTTTTTTTTCACACAGAACATGCGTGGAATCTGGGGCCATACTTTGTCGGACTGAACAAAAATATGGGAGTGTCTCACAATGTTGGACACCCCCACTCGGTTGCTTTTTGCTCCCCTGCTAAAAGTGTTTAACTTTTAGTGGCTTAATACGGGAACAAAAACACCCACGAGTTGGCACAAAGTTGACTCAAGTCCTAACATCCCTTGGCAAAATGCACTAAAGCCGGATCAAAAACAAAAAACGGGACGAGGCAAGTGCCACACGCTTTGCCTGGAAGGGGAGGTATCCCTTGAAGCCGACGGGGAGCGACTCGAGCCTCGAGAGTCCTGCGACGGGACTCTTCGACGAGTCGAGGCCGGAGGTAAAATTCCTTCCTCATTCTTTCCAGGAAACCATCAAAAACCCAGTGGGGAAACAGATTCGGTTTTTGAGAAAAGAACGATGGTTGAAAAGAATGGGCATGGAGTCTCCTTTCAAACATTACCAAAAATAATGGGGTCATGGACCCATTTTTAAAGGGTCATGGAGACTCCAGGAACCATGAAGCCACAAAACCATGAAGCCATATGGCTGTGGTTGTCAAAACCAGTGGGATCCCATTTTGGGGTAGGCGAATTCACCGCCCATTTTAGATTTTAGAACCTGTTTTAGTGGGGATTGGGATGTTCACTGGGGGTACGAGCTTTTGACCCATGGCCATATATGGGTTAAACCAAACTTGAGAAATTTTCAAAATGTCCTTTGTGTTTTCTTCAAGGGGCAACACGAATGTGACCCCGTGAAGTGACCGTGGCTGAAAGGGAAAATCCAGAGAACCTATATAAGGCGAGAGGTCTATTTAAATAGGTCTAAAAAAAACAAAGTTGAGTCTGGCAACATGGGGTCTCCAGGAAATGTGGGGAGCTCTTTTTCGTCAGACATACTATAGACAGACGAAATCCTGCACCACCTAAGAAACCCTGGAATGATTCGATTGCGCTGCAAACACCAACAAACGATATGGTTTCAAGCATGCAACCAGGCACAGTAGCAATTGCCATGGGGTGCCCGGCGATTCCATGCCGAAAAAGCGTGGAAACCTGTGGAAACTGGAGCCCAAGTACCTCACTTGAGGCCTGGGGTAGGCAACCTCGCCTCAAGCAAAGCTCGCTGGCCCCGGATGCGGAAATGGAAACGGAAGCTCAACTTTGGGAACCTGGGCCACTATGGTTGTCAAACCAGGGAAAGCAACAGGTTCAAAGGTCGATTCGCTTTGGGCAAATGAGAAAGATCTTGAAGGGTCCCCTGATATGTTGCCAACGCCCGCGAAGGTTCCTCAAGTTCCTCAAGTGCCGGACTCAAACCTTTCTAAGGCATCGGAAGCACAGGGCCCCGCAGTTCGTTCAGTCCAACAAGCATGCCAAGCTTGTCATATACCCCCTACTCCAATCCAAATTCCGGTATCATGTCAACCCTTTTCTAGAACGCATGGGGAGTCCCAGGTTTTGCTAAAAGATCCAACTAAAACAAGGAGGGCATGTTGTTCAGGTTACGGGGCTAAGATGGATCACAGCGTCGAGCGGCCAGGCCAACGTCCCTAGCCCAGAGCCTCCGGGCAAGCTATAGGAAGCAGCCAGAGGACTCATGTCAAAGCTAGAGGTCAAACAACTGGCCCTGGTCAGCTACAAGTGAGTCACTTGCTCAAAACCTGGTACTAAAAAGGTCCACCCAGAACCATGCTTCAAGAATTAAGAAGGCGGATCTCCGCAGCTATTTATGGGTGGGATTGTCACCTTCATCTACCCAGGTTTTGATTGTGGCTCAAGTGGAAACTGGAAGTGCTGCAACAACCAGAAGCCTATCCCCAGTCCTGATGAGATTCACCAAGCCTGCGGTGGCTAGCGGAACGCGGTCTTGGTTGCAAGTGAAACCAAAAGCACCACAACCACTTGTCACATCCCCCTTGCTTGACACACACACACACACACACACGCCCACACACACGCACACACACGCACACCACACACACACACCCACACCCACCCACACACACACACACACGCAGTGAACTGCACAACTTTGCCAAGGGCCGTGAGTAGTCTAAACACTTAGCTCTGCCGAGCCATATTGACATGGAGCTGACAATCCCGGGGTAAACCGATTGACCACCCAAAATCGAGCAGCGAGCCACCGAGGAATAAGCGACACCGAACTGTCCGTTGCTAGCCAGCAATGCGAAGCGCTGTCTACCAAACCTCTACAACTCTTGGCATGGTAGTAAAAAAAAAAACGTTGTTTTTTGCAGCCCCCGGCAGTAAACATTAACAGACCCAAACAACTTGCCAAGACCAGTCAACCACACCCAAACCCCACGGCGCCTGTCAGGAATTGTTAGCGTGCGTCTTGTGGGGGCCTTCTGGCTCGTGTCCTCACCGGTGCCAGGCCATCATTAACCCAAATCTGACTGCGTGCTTCTAGGGGTTGATTCAACCAGTTTATGCGGAACTTTGGCAACCACGTGTAAGGGTTCAATAATCTAGGGGTTGATTCCAACCATTCTGTTCAACCATCCTTCTTTTTAAACCTCGGACCCGTTTCCCCTGAATTCCGGAGGTTTTCCAGAAAGCAGGATCCGTGCAAAGAATGGGGAAGGTACCCCTGGAAGAGTCTCCTTCTGACCACTCGAAAAAGGGGTCATGACCCCTGAACTTTTTGGGTAATCCCATTTGTAAAAGGGTCAGAACAAGACTCCAGGTAGATATTTTCGCACATTTGCTCTCCTGGGTCAAATGTGGGTATACATTACCTATAGTCGGATTCTTGGGATTCTACTGCCTCCAATCCAGAAGAGGAGCCAGGGAAAGGAAATGAACCTCTATGGTCTTTAGTGCCAAATCGCAAGGTTGCAATGACTCCTCCTATGGCTCTGAATCAGTAGGTGAACCATTCTCCAAAGTTCCGACTGCAGGTTCCACGCTCGGTGTGCCAAATCCAGGCACCTCTCCCAAATGCTCGATTGATGTGTGGTCCCCAAAATGAATGAGTCCCTTGACACATCCCCAATCCCCAATGATGTCTAAAGGACGGATGACAGCCCAAAAACTACCCCGAAAATATCCAGACCTCTGGGTCCATTCAAGCGGCATCCTCAGTTTCCTAATTATCTGAACCGTGGTTTAAATGAACCCCCCACCCCAAACGTTTCTTTGGGACCCCCTCTCAAAGGGTTCGAGATTCCCGTGGCCACCTTTTTGGTTAAGGTGATCTGTTCTTTTAGGTTTCTCCTGGACTCACTTCCTGAGTTGCTGGGCCCAAAAAGTCCAAACTGTTTGTTTGCAACTAACATGGTCCAAATCCAAAAAATGACTAGGGCCATGCAGGACCTAAGTGTATCGAGCCATTCTGACGAACCGACCCCCCAAAAACACAAAAGCATACCGCCGTCAAACCCGAAGCATGCAGTCCTTTTGCTCCGAAGCTTCGTGCTCGCTCCTGGCATGGCTCAACGTGCGGCCATCGTGACTCTGCATCACTTCAAAGGGGCTTCCAGCTTGGCCACTCAAAGAAAGGTGGCTCTGCAACATCTGCTTGATTCTGTGTCAAGTTTTAGTGAACCTCAACAGTTGTTTAAAACAAAGGTCAAAAGGTGTCAAAGGTCGAAACCAAAACTGCCGTACAGGTCCTGCTTACGCCGCTTCGACTTCTCTCCGGCGCCTGACGATGAGCCACGGTCGTTTGTTTTATTTCGCGCCCCAATGACAGAGTGGCAATCTCCAAGTAAACAACAATACGTAGTAGACGTGCGTATATCTACTCTGGGGTTCGAGCTTGATTTCGGAAGCGTGCCCATTGTTCATGGTTGTGGGAAAGCCAGCATTTGGCGGGTGGGCGGGGTCGAGCCGAAATGTTTGCGGAATCAAATTTTAAATTGGCGACAATCGATTTGCATGCCCGCCTTCACGTCATCCTCAGCTGGGCTTGCAAGCCTCACAATACTGAACCATTCAGTCAGCACATCCCACTCCAAATAACCGTTCTTGTGAAGGGTGCTTCTTGAAAATCGTTCAGGGTATCTGCCTCTTTTTGTTCGTCAAGGTTTGACAGCATAACCCCATCATACCCTGAAAATATGGGTATTGGGCGCAGGGGGCACTCTTTAGCACACTCCGTCACGCGCACACACACACACACTTAAACTCCAGATGGAGGGTGCTAATCTTTCGAGTACAACTGATGAGTCTCGAGTACAACTGATGAGTCTCGAGTACAACTGATGAGTCTCGAGTCGGATAAGTTTCGGCTGGCAGGTCACTTGGCTTCACTCTAGAAACGAAAACGTTACCCGAAAGAACAAGAAGCACAAACAGCGCCGCAACCAAGGGGGCCAAATAGACTTTCAGAATCACCGAAGCAGCTCTGGTGCACATCGGGCTTGATGAAGGTACGTCCAGCTGGCCAAGCTGGATATCCCACTTCACTGGTAGCTTCGTTGGACACAGTCCCAGTGAAGTGCTGTGTCCCCCTGCATCTGTCTGGTGGCAGGGTATTCTGCCACTCCGCACACACACACGCCCCTCAGTGAGGGGCGAAAATCTTTTGTTCCCGTCGGAAGATCACGCAATCGGCTCATCCATGCTAACGTCTACCAAAATATCCACTGCGTCTGGGAGAGCGCGAAACTGCACGCTCCGCACGAGGCCGCTCAGAAGACGGGGACGAAAGATCTCCAAGATGAGCAGGACGTTTGCCGCCATAGAAGACAGGCGGAAACTGCAAAGCAGTCGGGCGATCACCGTCAGAAATCGGGGGGGAGGGGGGCATAGGTGAACATCTCCACGACCTGGATATGGTCCGGGTGTTGTACACCAGCAAGTGATGGATCAGGGGCATGATGAGTGGAGAAGGACTCAAAGCGAGACAAAATCCGTTGGTAACCTTGATGTTGCCAATCACAAATTGTCCATGCTTGACTGGACTCACCAGTTCCGCCAACATGCTCAGTCACCCGTTTCCACTCCCGAAACGAGTTCTCAGGCAGGTCAGGTACTGCTTCATCAGTGCGCCACAGCTGATGCTGACCTGGAGTGTAGATCCGCACCCACTCCTGGTCCTGCCTGACAGAATATTCGAGCCAAGGGTGTATTTTTTTCCGTGCCGGCCGTCGATTGAGTCACATCATCTGTGTCCATGCTGAGGTAAAGGACGGGAGTGCCGCGAGCTCTGATCCAGCTATCGAGGAAACGGTCACAACGCATAACAAAGCACAACCGACAAACACACAAGCAAGCAAGAGCAAAGAAGACTCGCTTTAATGCCATGAGCAATGTAGATCGGTTTATACGTCACCTAGCTCGAAGATGGGCTGCGCCTTGGTGTTGGAGTTGACTGATTGACCCGCAGTGGTATTTGGATCAGCGACCCCAATAGATTCGGATGGTGCGACTCCAAAAGAAAAACATGTACTGGATGATGAGACGCTTGTCGCGTGCGTTCAGACAGTCGCTGACTGATCCCAGCCTGAAGACGAGTAAGGTCGTCAACGGAGAATTCAGAAGCATCCGAAGAACGAAGAATCTCACTCAACATCTGCGGTGTCATACTCAGAGCCGAAGACTGCGTGGCTACGCTATGTTGGAAGAAATAAGGAGGGAAACAAATCACGATGCGATGCAACCCAACGTTGCAACCATGTGCCAAGCTGAGCCTTCCAATTCGGAACATGTAGAGGTGGGAGAAGTAGTTGTGTCATAGTGCTTGGTGACTGAAGCTGTCGTTTGCGCATAACCTGGGCGAGGAGTTTCTGTGCTTTGGAACAAAAAGGCTCGTTGACGAAGACGGAGAGTCGTAGGAAGTAGTAGAGCTGAGTGGGTGGAAAAGCCGCCGATAGCAGATCGCGCATAGTTTGAAAGGACGCACCTGTGTTGGATCCCAGTTGATAAAGAGTGGAGTAGTGTGCTTGAATGTCATCCAACATTTCGGGTCGTAATTGCTGATGGAGATCCGGATGTAGTCGTCGCCGAAAACGCTTGTGTAGTGAGAGTGATGCAGGCGATGACAACGAATGGCGCCGAAAGTCAACCAGATGTTCACGGAAGCCAATTTTCCGAAGGAGTCTGGGTACCCAGGGAGCATTTAGATGTGGACGCAGCAAGTATTGCCACTTGCTTTCCTGAACCCAAACCGAGGAAAAGGGAAGTTTAATCTCAACCGGAATGGCACAGAAAAGCCAGTAGGTGTTGGATCGCTTCCAGTAGTGAAGTGCAGGCTCAAAGAATGCATGGTGTCCCCGACGTAGTTGTAGAAATTTGCGGCTGCGCGAGTGTTCTCGGCGAAGAACATCCTGATCTGTTGCTCCAACGTAGTAGGGACTGTGACATGGAGAGAGTCTGATGTAGACGCAAGGCTGGTGATGGTGACCTGGATCCTGAATGAAATCATAGAGGTCCGGGAAGCGTGTCCGTAGTGATCGAAGATGTCTCATAGCCGCAGAAGTGGAGTGCATGATTTCACACAGCAGTGACGTCTTGCAGAAGTGAAGAACCTCAAAAAACGGCGGTATGTACCCATAGTCTTGAGAAATGAGACGCTGCAGAAAACTGATCAACAGATAGGCAGTTCTCCGGCATCTATGAAGCTCATACCTGTTGGCCACCGTGTGATAGGACCGCGACATGGAGTGTATCGGAATCTGAACTGCAATCCGAACCACGATGAGTACTTCTAGGATGAGGTCCAACTGAGGTAGTTGCTCAATTGACTCATATTCATCCATAGGAATCGACGGTGGTGGAAGTCCAGGAAAGCAGTATTGCCAGCACGTAGAGAACACTGTCAGCGAGTGCAGAAAAGTGTCTAAGGAAAGCCATTGCGCAACATCATCATAGATTCCACCGCGGCGAAGTTCAGCCAACATGATGGATATGCAACCAATGAATACTACAATGTGGCGGCGACATGCATGCAAGAAGCAATGGGCGCCAAGCAACTCACAAGGAAAACAAAGCCAAGCACTTCACCAAACAAGTAATGAGCAAGAAGAGATCGGACAAGTTTTGAACGTTGGAGCGATGTGCATCGATCAACTGCGTCAGAACAGGCTGCAGATCAGTAAGGAGACTGGATCCATGTATATGCCAGCGACGAGCCAGTTTGCGAAGCTGTGTGGTGAAACGCTGATGAAGCATGTCAACATCGCCAAAATACTGTTCCTTCATGGACGTGGTCATTATGTCAATGTCAATGTCCGCATTGATGCGCGAGAACTCATCTACAATCACGGCATGATCATGTGCACGGTACAGGTGGCAGGCATCCATGTCCGAACAGCGACACGGAAAAGACATGTCAGGAGCCCACCTGCGTTGCCATGTGGAACACCAAGGCGTTGATAACCTCGCGTGTTCCAGTCTCGGAATTCCCACACGTAATAGGACGCGTAGGAGACAGGCATGACATTGGGATACGCAGCGGTGCCTCCGGTGCTGTTGCGGGGCAAGTACACGTCGAAGTCGTATGCCCTGCGCCACTCCCGATACGTGGAGGCGTGGTCCGGGGCTCGTCCCAGGGCGGCTGTAGCCACACACTGCCACGGACCCGGTGTGTAAATCCGAATCCATTCCAGGCCTCTCTCGATGTGGTACTCAAAGTAGTGCGGAAACATGACAGCCAAATAAGTCGTCACAATGCTGTTACAAGGAAGAGCAAAGCCAAGGGATCTGCGGCGAAAAAACATGCCATGCCATGTCAATGCTACAAGTGGTGCAACGCAAAGCAACTTTTCCAAACTGAAGGCTGGACGAATCAACAAAGTCTGTAGTGTTCGGCAGCAATGATTCACCGCCGCTGATGACGCGCGCACCTGCAATGGAAATGTCCTGGCTGACGTTGAACACAGGGGGAAAGACATTTCCGTCCATAATGTAGGAAAGCATGGCAGTAATGCTTGACCGCCGCGTCATGAGACACAAGGCTGCCTCTGCAGTAAAAACCCATCGGAGGTAGCCACACTTCGTTCCAGTTCGTGTAGTCGTGATAGGGAGGAGGCTGCATCAGCCATTTCGAAGGTCGGACAAGCTCTAAGGAATGCCATTGCGCAACATCATCATAGATTCCACCGCGGCGAAGTTCAGCCAACATAATGGATATGCAACCAATGAACACTACAATGTGGAGGCGACATGCATGCAAGAAGTAATGAGCGCCAAGCAACTCACAAGGAAAACAAAGCCAAGCACTTCACCACACAAGTAATGAGCAAGAAGAGATCGGACAAGTTTTGAACGTTGGAGCGATGTGCATCGATCAACTGCGTCAGAACAGGCTGCAGATCAGTGAGGAGACTGGATCCATGTATATGCCAGCGACGAGCCAGTTTACGAAGCTGTGTGGTGAAACGCTGATGAAGCATGTCAACAACGCCAAATTACTGATCCTTCGTGGACGCGGTCATGATGTCAAAGTCAATGTCCGCATTGATGCGCGAGAACTCCTCTACACTCACGGCATGATCATGTGCACGATACAGGTGGCAGGCATCCATGTCCGAACAGCGACACGGAAAAGACATGTCAGGAGCCCACCTGCGTTGCCATGTGGAACACCAAGGCGTTGATAACCTCGCGTGTTCCAGTCTCGGAATTCCCACACGTAATAGGACGCGTAGGAGACAGGCATGACATTGGGATCCGCAGCGGTGCCTCCGGTGCTGTCGCGGGGCAAGTACACGTCGAAGTGGTATGCCCTGCGCCACTCCCGATACGTGGAGGCGTGGTCCGGGGCTCGTCCCAGGGTGGCTGTAGCCACAGGCTGCCACGGACCCGGTGCGTAATTCCGAATCCATTCCAGGCCTCTCTCTGGTACTCAAAGTAGTGCGGAAACATAACAGCCAAATAAGTCGTCACAATGCTGTTACAAGGAAGGGCAAAGCCAAGGGATCTGCGGCGAAAAAACATGCCATGCCATGTCAATGCTACAAGTGGTGCAATGCAAAGCAACTTTTCCAAACTGAAGGCTGGACGAATCAACAAAGTCTGTAGTGTTCGGCAGCAATGATTCACCGCCGCTGATGACGCGCGCACCTGCAATGGAAATGTCCTGGCTGACGTCGAACACAGGGGAAAAGACATTTCCGTCCATAATGTAGGAAAGCATGGCAGTATAATGCTTGACCGCCGCGTCATGAGACACAAGGCTGCCTCTGCAGTAAAAACCCATCGGAGGTAGCCACACTTCGTTCCAGTTCGTGTAGTCGTGATTGGGAGCAGGCTGCATCAGCCATTTCGGAGGTCGGACAAGCTCCTCATCTCGCAGAATGTTGAACACTCAAGACCGCAAGACAAGGAGAGATAAGCGGCTTCAGCCACGCCATCCATGCGATCGATGCCATCCATGCCTGCCATCCATGCCTTCCCTGCCATCCATGCCAATAACGCCATTCAAGACATCCATACCATCCCTGCCATCCCTGCCATCCATGCCATCCATGCCATCGATGCCAACCATGCCATCCAGGTCATTCAGAAAAGTTTATGCCATCAACCATGTCTCCTATGCCGACCATGTCGTCCATCTAAAAGGTCAACAGAATGTATCACCACTCAAAGGGAATTTTTGCGGCTCCAATATTGCAAGGTCATCTAACCGCGAGCCTCAAGCCGCTGGTAAACCTTTCAGGCCTGCTTGACTTCCTCAATGGGCTTCTGAAGGAAGCGAGCGATAGTCTTGTAGGAGAGCAGGTATCGTAGTGACCACTTCAGAGCGAAAAGATGCTGCAGACTCACGACACAACGAAAAGACCTCTCCTGTGCAAAAAGTCTTGTGCATCAGTATGGTAAATAACGAAGGACAAATCACATGAGCACGAGAAGGAAAACGATCCGCAGGGACAACAACCCACGATGACAGAGAAACCATAGTACGCTGTAGTGACTCGGATGTCCAGTGCGCGTGGTCTTGAACCGTTCATCAACCATGACACAACTGCCACTCCGGGCTCATATGTAAGCAATGGAAACTGCTCACCCTGTGAGTAAGCGGGCAGTCACGATGAGGTGACACAGCGCTTTGTCAGTGAGCTTGGTGATGTAGCCAGGCTCAAGTCCCCACAGAGCCGCCATGGCCGCAAACGTAGGTGCATCTCCTTTTCGAATGCGTTGACACAAACCGCGGAGGGATAGTGCAAGGAAGTGGTACCGGATCGCATTGGAAGTGTTGTAGCCCGAATTATGTTGCCAGGAGACCAAGATGTTCCAATCCATGCCCTCCGAGACCTGGTTGTCATTGTGTTCACGTCGGCGTGCTTTGCGAGGCTGGGGGAAGGACTCCGATCCCGTCTGCGCCGAGTTCTGGATCTGTCACGATCATCCCGGCGTGGCATGACGAAATAGCAACACGTCCGAAAATGATAAAGCTCGTCCTTGAGGATGGATGCAAACGACAAACCACAATCAACGGCAGCTCAAGACCATGGACATGAAAGCAGCGGCAGCCAGCGTGGTGAAACGTAGCTATGAAGAGGAGGCTGTCTTCCCTTTAGTGAAACCTCGTTCCTGGTTAAATGTGAAATTCCGCTGATCTATGATAAGCACGTTGAGGTCAAATTTTCCGACAGAGCCGGCCCGGGGTCACACAATGGGTACACACGAGGATTCCCCACAAATGGGGTGTACACACTTAAACTCCAGATGGAGGGTGCTAATCTTTCGAGTACACTGATGAGTCTCGAGTACAACTGATGAGTCTCGAGTACAACTGATGAGTCTCGAGTCGGATAAGTTTCGGCTGGCAGGTCACTTGGCTTCACTCTAGAAACGAAAACGTTACCCGAAAGAACAAGAAGCACAAACAGCGCCGCAACCAAGGGGGCCAAATAGACTTTCAGAATCACCGAAGCAGCTCTGGTGCACATCGGGCTTGATGCAGGTACGTCCAGCTGGCCAAGCTGGATATCCCACTTCACTGGTAGCTTCGTTGGACACAGTCCCAGTGAAGTGCTGTGTCCCCCTGCATCTGTCTGGTGGCAGGGTATTCTGCCACTCCGCACACACACACACGCACAAACAGCCTATCGGATACACCGGGAAGTATAATTCCCTGCCTGTCGGTATTGTTGACTTTGGCATCATCCAAAGGAAGTCTTGTTCCTCTCACAGAAAGGAAATACATGGTGTTTTCATGGGGCTCCTCTGATTAGTCCCCTGAGTCAGGGGGACGATGAATCCGGAATGGGCGAATGGTGCCGGCATGGTGCCTTGAAGCTCCCAGCGTCTGCCGCCTGCCCTTCTTTCGCCTCAAGATCTCCTTGCGAACCCACAGAAAGCTGCCCCCCTCGGCGGCGCAAACTTGCCCAGTGAGGTGATGCCCCATGCTGCTTGAGGAAACTGCTGAGGTTTTCAGAAAAGAAGGCTCCCTAAAAAGCATGGGGGAAGTATGGCCCGAACACCGTATAGAAAAAACTCGCAACCGAGGGTGAACATTCCAAAAAAGCCGCCTTTCCGCCCCTATGGATTGGAAATGGGTGTCGTACCTCTCCCAAACTCATCCCAATTCTACCGATGTTTACTTTGGCTGTCGCCTTTCGGAGCGTGTCCTTGCAAAACCACTCTTTGGGCATCAGAAAGGAGCCGCAGGGGGTTTTACGGACCTCCGCAAGGATTATTAACCCACTCACACTTTTTCGCGTTCAGTGGAATTAACCCTAGATGAGTTGGCTAACCACTTACTAAATTGGGGCCCCAGGCATTCAACTTGGAACCTGCTTGGACCCGTGCCATATGAGGGCCTTGAACCCCCAAAGAGGGCTTCAAATGAGGTCCAAGGGGCTTCGGGGTTTGGTTTTAAAGGTTGTTCCCCAGGGAAATGGAACCACCGACCCTTACGAAACCTACCTCTGTAATGGCTTAGCTCAATATTGGACCCCAAGTTCACAGGCGACTGAGCTTGGGACCTGCAAGTGGCTTCCAACACTATCCATCCTGTTAAACCCATATTAAATCCGCCACCCATATTAAATCTAGCCATATCTTGCAAACTGGCGGGCTACGGATATCGCGGGTCGGGGGATATGGATCCTATTGTTCCCCAGTCCGCTCCGCTCAACCCGTTTGGGTCTCCCCCCCCCTCCCTCGCGTTTTTTTTTGGTGGGGTTTAAAGGTGGGTTTAGAGGGAAACAAGCAACCCGATTTTGTTTCACCCCATTTTGTGTGGGTTTAAAGGGAAACGACTGGCAGCCCAAAATAATGTGGGAGGGGGGGGAAGCCCTAAAACAGGATGCACCCATTTAGTTTTGCCTTTGTAGAATCGGAACTCGATTTGAAAATGGCAACGGCTTTGATCGCCCTGAATAAACCAGCATTCGGGAGCAAAGGGACCCAAACAAGTCCGTGTGTGCAATATGTACTCACACGTGCCCTCCAAATGGTCAAACGTTGGTATCTATTACCTACCCTAAGGCTCGTGCCCCTCCTATGCAGGCTCCGTATGGAGCTCTCCAATGAAGAACCCGAACGAATTCCTCAGGGGCCCTTGATATGAGGGCCCAAAAACAATAGGGGGCCCTAGGAGAATGTTGAGCCCATATTCATCAACCCCAATTTATTTTAATATGGAGACGTTTCACTCCAAAAAGTGATGATTCCCCACTAAACCCAGGGATACCCTCCTATTAATAAACTGGGGGTTGATTAATATGGGGTCAACATTGCATGGATTCTCTGGGCGACCAACCAACTTTCAGTCCTCGCTTTCTGCTTCGTCTCCCGTCCTGGCCAGGCTTTGGGCATGCTCACAACTCCGGCCATGACGTTTCTAACTCGGAACACTTCGGTGTGTGTGGGTGCGTGAGTGTGTGTGTGTGTGTGTCTATCTGGAGTCTCCATGACCCTTTAAAAATGGAGTCATTACACACAATTAAGGGGTCATGACCCCATTTGTTTAAGGTCATAGACACTCCAGCTATTTCTGAAGAAATCCTTTTTGGGGTGGGCTTAAGGGAAATGAAAAGGAAAATCACTTGCTTTGGGAAAACAACAGACACCAACTTGCAACAGTCTAAGCTTTCTTACAAGCTGCTTCTTTGCTTTGACACCGACCACGGATGTTATGTTTTGAAAAAAATACCCAGGTCGGTTTGAAACTAAACCAAAAAGACCAACATCTTCGGGGAGTCCCATTTTGAGACGCACTATGAACGTGTCGGCACGACGCGCCTGGCACCTTTGCTTTTGCTTCTATTTCGCGGATCGCCAGATTCTGAAGCCTGGAAAAGGCACTTTCAGACCATGGCTGGAAATCAGCCCGAAATCTGTATACCAAACTTGGGACGACTACTGTGTCACTAGGAGATGCCCTTGGTATCACAGAAAGCAACCCAAAAAAAACACCATGTTGACCATCACAACCCCTGATCAACCCTCCCTAAGCATATTTCGACCCAATGATCCCCCGGCCAAACAAGTGGACCAGAGCTGCCCTTGGCAAGCTTCCTATCCACATTCGGCTTCCAAGTCTGTTGGCCTCGCGGCCTCGCGTCCCCAGTTATCTGGCCAGTGTCTGGATCATTGAGGGCCGCCGCGGCCCATGGTCAAAACTTCTCATGTGGCTCATAGTCCTTACATTTTTTTGGAATTCGCCCCAAAATGCTTCACACCAGCAACAAAGGGGTACCGAGCCTCAAAAAAAGACGAGCCACCCACTCTGACCTTGGTTGTCTGCTGCTTAGAAATGTCCATGCTGTTTGTGTTTGTCTTCGGGTCCATGCACATGGTGATTCCCATTCTGGTTGCCGAATCGGCGTCTTAAAGCAAGAAAAAAAACAATCCCCTTGATTCTTCCAGTAGGGAACGCAACAAAATCTCTGCACACAACTATCTCAAAGCGGACAGACGCAATGAGCCCAGTGCTTCCAGTTCCCACTATATATATATATATATATATACATGTCCTCTCCTTCCCTTGCCCGTGAAACCCTGCACGCTCCGCTTCCCTGTTTTCACATGCAAGCGGGGCTCTCCGGTGTTTTGTGTGTGCAGCGACTGCTGCGGATGTTGGCACACTGACTATCACCAGACTACTTGCTCAAACTGCAGCAGTGGATCTGGCACACTTCCGAAAATTCGTGGCAAGGAAATTGCACTTGCACAAACGAAGGCATGCCTGCCCGAGGTGGCGGGGTGGTGGTGGCAGCTTTGAGACTAAGAGGCAATGTTGGTTCAGACATACAAGTCATGTCCTCTCCTTCCCTTGCCCGTGAAACCCTGCACGCTCCGCTTCCCTGTTTTCACATGCAAGCGGGGCTCTCCGGTGTTTTGTGTGTGCAGCGACTGCTGCGGATGTTGGCACACTGACTATCACCAGACTACTTGCTCAAACTGCAGCAGTGGATCTGGCACACTTCCGAAAATTCGTGGCAAGGAAATTGCACTTGCACAAACGAAGGCATGCCTGCCCTCCCATCCAAATCCACCCTTGGTGAGAGGAGGGGTGGTGGTGGACCAGGCAGTTGCAAGGCTGCCACAGCCACCTGAAGAAAGGGGCGCTGTAGTCACTAAGCTGCGTGTTGAACCTGTGTGCGCAGTGTCTGCGCAAGCAAGGACATTGAGGCGCCAATGAGCGCCGAGAGCAGGTGGGACGTGTGCTGGATTGGCGCACCGGCAAAGTCTGAAAAGTTTACTCCTGATGGAAGGGACTCGCGCATGGCATATTCCATCTGGTACACGAGCTCGTCCACCAGCCCTTCCATCAGCATGAGCGCCAATTGCAAGGTTCGTCGCACACAGAGCCTGAGACCTTGCACGACAGCCCTAGCTGTGAAGGTCGACAAAGCGGGTTTTGCCAGAAGGCAGACAAAGACCAAAATCACTAGCCAACGGGCTTTGGTCGACATCCAAACGCCTTTCAAAGCGTGCCGCGCCCAACAGCTAAATTGCTCTGCTGTAGGCGCTGGCTCACTGCGCTCTGGGTTGACCCTCACAAGCGCACAAGGCTCTGGCTCGCCCAAGTTCTCCATATCTTGCAAAGCTACCCAAGCCTTTGCAAACTTTTGCAGGCACGGGTCAGCCGGGTAGCGCTTTGCAGCGCGCCTGAGGCTGTCCGCGCTGAGTTCGGCGAACAATTTTCCTGCGTGCATGCCGCCTGCGACCACCTTGCGCCCATGTTTTTCACTCCAGTTCTGCATAGCGCTGGCACCACCCTGCCAACACTGAACTTGAGCGGCAACTCTGCAATGGCACGGGAAGCAAGTGTTCACAAGTCCGGGACATCACCAAAGATACGCAAAGGGGCCCTAATTTCTTAAGTCTATCCACAGTTGCTTTATCCAGCTTGTTCAAGATTTGAGTGGCCATTGCCTGCTGAATATAGTGTTCCAAGGATTTTTCAACCGTCCACCTGCCTAAGAAACGCAAAGAAGCAATAGGCACCCCCTTACTGAAGTACATGGTGGCACCCCCAGGCCGCAAGCTTGCAGGCGTGAAGTTGCAATTTGCCACCCCTAGCTCGTTGGTCAGCTGTCTAAACTTGTCACGGAAAGCCTGCGGCCTCCACTGCCAAAGCTGAACATCTGAGTGAGGGGCGATAAGTTGGCTTAATCGATCTATCACATTGGGATTTCGAAGCAGCACAAACTGGTCCTCGCCAAATTGCCTTCGATTTTTGGGCGAAGCGACTCGCAAGGCAGCATGCTGCTGGCTCATCACAAAAGTCCCTGGCAGGGAAACATCAGAATGCTGCAGCCGCAGCAATTCCCCGGGTCGGAGCATGCACAAGAAACCTACCTCCAGAAGCAGAGCGAAAGTCAGCCAGGCACGCGATTCACTTTTGCTACCGTGTCTCAAAGCGTGCGCCCTTGCAAGGCCAACCATGAAGACCCAGACGGGCACCGGCAAAGGTGGGCGCAGCTTGGTGACACGTCTTTCCTCCCAAACCCGAAGATTTTCCCAGCAAACATTCAGCTTCCGCTTCAACTCAGGGTACACGTGTTGGCAACCCAGTATGGCATGTTTCACGAGAGACAAGCTCTTGCCACCGGAGCTTTGGTGCCGGTCTAGCACATACTGGGCAAGAAAGGCGTCTGCTGCGGTCCGATCTTGCAGCATGTGGCTGACTGAAATCCCAAGTGTGGCTCGGCTGTAGTCATGCAGATCTTTAAGCCCTTTCAGAAGCCTGGAACGGTAAGCTGCTGAGAATCGGCCAAGCCTGAACCTCACCCCAGACGTGGCCATTGTCTGGGGCCTTGTGCTGGCCATGGCGTCAGTGTTTAGCCTATGCCCAAAAGTACAACACGGTTCAAAAATAACATGCACTTGCAGCTTCACGAGTGTTACTAGATATTCATCTCTTGACAAAAGCGCAAAGCTGCTGACGCATACTTGTTGCAAAGCCTAAGAGGGTAATGCCCGGCTAACTCCGACCTCGTCCTCCAGCCTGATGGAGTTCTGACCCCCCCTTGAACGTGGACATGGGCACACGTGCTCGCGCAGCGTCTTTCCAAAGCTTTCAAGAAAGGGGCGTTCCCAATAATCTTAGTAGTTTTCTTGCAAGGCCCTATTTTACCGTCTTTGTCCCTGAGCTTAAGGCCATAGGCGCACTGGTCTAGGTCAACGGCAAAGACGCTGTGTTGTCCCTCCTTGCACACCAGCCCCGGCATAAGCCATATGTATGACGACTTAGGGTTTTCCAAGGTCCAAAAACTACCATGGCTCTCAAGCATGGCTATTAACCTAAGAGTTCGGTGGAGAAGCATGTTGCCCAGTTTTTCCCTTTCCAGAGAACCGCTACCTTGGGGCACATGCCTGCGTCTGGTGCCGTGATTTGCATGCTGCAGGATGCTGAAAGACGAACACGGCAGACCGAAATGCCACAACTGGTTAGGGTTGGCTGCCTCTGCAAGCAACCTTGCAAAGGTACCTGGGTGCAGAACATCTTGCTGGGGGATAAACATTTTTCCCTTTTTATACTCAACAGGTTCTTGTGTTTCAAAAGCGTCCAGCTGTCTAAACGCTTGAGTGAGCCGGGCCCTTCCCGCAAACACCTCTTTGAACCCCCATAAACGCGTCCTGTTAGCAGCGTTTTTGATGGCCTCAGGCCTTGGGGTTGAGCACGGCCCATGCCCTTGCTCTACCCTTCGGGCGGATGGGCCGGAGCACACCGCAACTTGCCTTTCACGCACAGGGTCGGATCCTTCACGCTGAGCTTCTTGTTCCAACACAGCTTGTTCACTGGGCGTGCTCCGTGCCTGCACTTGGCTGATGAGGTCGGGTTCAAACAGGACAGGTTCGGCGCATGTGTCCGGGCCGGGAATCTGGCGGTCACGGGATGGATAGTCTGCTGGGTTTGAGTGGGTGTCCACCCATAGATTGACTAGTTGCGTGTTACCTGCCAGACTCCAAGCTAGACACGCGCGCAGTCGGTGGTTCATGGACCTAGAACTGCTACGTCCCTTGGCATAGGCACCTACCACCACCCTTGAGTCGCACAAGTTTACAACCCTACAATTTCCTCGGCCAGAGTTGACACGGTCCTTTAGCTCTTGCTTGACCATCTCAAGTTCTAACAAGTTAATATGCTCGGGCTTGCTGAACTTGATGCTCTGGGTGGCTGTCCACTGGTGCTGTCCAAGAGTACGTGTAAAAGCATCGGGCGCTCCCTGCATGCTAGATGGAGGTTCCAGCGCGTGCAGGTCCCAGTCCAAACGTGTGTGCTCCCCTTTCTTTTCAGCAAAACGGTAAAGAGTCTTTGCAAAAGCTCGTGTGGTTATGGTAGCTGCACGACCACCTCGCACGCAGCTTGCATCTGAAGCGGAAATTTGCACTGAAACGGGCCAACGGGCTGAGGCAGCTGCCATAGGCAACAACAAGGCTGCTGATAACAGCTCATCTTGCACGTACCCCGGCAACCTAACTTCACCTGTTTCCGGGATCCTGTCGATAAACAAGTAAATGTGGTGGAAAATGGCCATGCACTCTTTTCTGTGCATGAAAGGGTGCACAAACAGCCCTACCAACTTCTGTAGGCCCTTTTTTGAGCACCTTCCTAAACGCACAATTTCACAAGTCAGATTTTCAACCTGCCTCAACCTTTCCACAGGGCCCCCAACACGACCAGTGCGAGAACACACATCAGTGCCCCAAGCTCTAAAACTGTACTCCTTGTTGAACTCCTTTGTTGAAGAACGTGGAAGCCCTAGCCTCTGGTACTGCTCTCTTGAGGCGGCCACAAGCTCCTCGTCAGGCAAAGTCTTCCTATCGCGTTCGGGTTTTTTGTCTAGAACTTGAAAAACCAGGTGGTCATCAATGTACAACCCCTCCAAGGTGTTTGAAGCGGGGAAGGCTCTGCCGTATATGATGGATTGGTGCGGGCGCAAACAGCCGGCTTCTTGCAACAGGGCTTCGTGCGTGGCTTGTGCTATGCAAACACCGTTAGTGTCACCCATGCAAACCACTCGGAAAGCGGGATAATAAAAAGCATCGGGGCTCAAGTCGGGGCACTTGAGCCTCTTACCCCTTATTCTATCCCCAAAACAGTTCCTATGCTGCCAGCCCTCTAAGTGTTGAATCAAGTAGAAGTAGTTACTTAAATCATCGCCACTGGCACGAACGCTCTGGTGAGGCTCCAGGATGAGTTGGCCAAGCATGTGGCCCGCTGGCAGCTGGCACCAGTTCAGGCGCCGCTCGCGGCAGTTCAAGGGCCTACGATCGTTTATTAACCTGTCTGAGGTAGCCTTATGTGGAACACAGAAAAGACCGCCCTTTATTACTGTGTGTCCCTCTCTAAGCACTTCCTCTTCAGGTAGAAAGCTGATCATGCCTATGTCATACAGCTTGTTAAGCAGTTCTGGCCAATCCTTACTGCTTACTTTATGGCACGCTCGAACTTTGATGCCAACAGCACTGTCATCTGGAACCCACTCCGGCATGGTGAGAAGTCCTGCAACCGCTCACCGGTCAAATGTTTGGCAGGGTCTAAAATTGCTGCCTCTTCAGGCAGCGAGAGCCTGTTCGGGTTCACGGGCAACGCCCCTGCTAGGGCCTCTTCTAGATTGACACTCGGATCATATTTATTGATTCGCAATTTGCTAATTAAGTCTTGCAGCTTGGCAGTTCCTCTTTCCATGGTCCCCCTAGGATGGGCAACATAACCAAGCAGCTTGTTAAACATTGTTCTAGCGTAGCTGTCATGCATGGCAGTCCAGTCCCCTTTCGAGGCTCTCCCAGCCACGTCTGCAGCGGCCTGCGCGCTACAAGGTGAGCCCCCTTCAAGAAAGTTGAAAAGCGCCCACAAAATGCGCAACCACTGCAAAGCTTCCCTTCGGAGATGCATGGGGAAGCCTCGTCTAGACTTACCAGGTGGGCATGTCCATGGCAGCATAGACGGAAACAATGTCTGCTGTTTCCCGCTTGAAGCGGGTGTCTCACCCCTGACTCCCTCTGCTCGGCTCCTGCTGTAAATTCTCCAGAACCGGCTGAAGGATCCATGCTTGCAACTAATTAAACGCGCTAGCTCACAAGGATCGGGCGCGCACGGGACACTGGCGGAGCCAGTCACTCTGTCTTGGCCTCCCCCTCCTTCTGCTTCTTTCCTTTTCGGGACTTTCCCTTTCCGTCGGGATCCCTTCCGGCCTTGGTGTCCTCCTCCGGCTCCCTCCATGTGCTGTGTGAGCTCCGCTTTTCCAGATCGTCCATGGCCTTGAGGTAGGTGGCGATGTGCTCCAACTGCTGCGGCTCGCCCCCAAAGCAAGGTCGCTCCAGAGGGTCTTGGTGCTCCATGAGCAAGCTTGCCGCCCGCCAAGAGCCTTGATCCAGATTTACTTGGTACAATGCTCTCAGCAGCTGCACCAACTGCAGCGCAGCCAGCTTGGGCTTGTCTTGCAGCAGAGTCTGCAAGACGCGGTTCCCTGCGTAGTGAACTCGCATGAGGCTCCGGTTCTTGCCCCAGTGCAGCTTCTTTGTGTAGTCCGTCAAGTTGTAGCCGGTGTCTGCGCAAATCCCCAAAGTCTCTTCGGCCTCGGCGACATACCGTTTCACATGCCTCAGGGGGTGCTTCTTCATCTGCGCATGTTCTCGCCTGTAGTCTCGCAGCGCCTTGCCCGCCCCACGAGGCTTGTCCTTGCTGCTGGAACTCTCTTCGCTGCTGGACACACTGCTGCTGCGGCTCTCTGCTACGGCGCTCCCTCTCTTCTTGGACACGCCCTTTCCTTTCAGAGTGCGCAGGATCTCTAGAGAAACCAAGGCGTTGAGGTCGACTCCAGCAGGCTGCTGCGCCAACACCTTTTCCAAAGGTGTTGTCTCTGGCTGTGTGTTTTGCTTGCCCTTCAGCATTGCGTATCTGCCCCTTTTTTAGGGCTTGTCGCCGGGCCGCTTTTCTCTGCTGTCTCGCCCAGTAGAAGGACCGGCGTTCTTCCTTTGTGCCTCCATCAGCAGTCTCAGCACGCCGTCCTCCTCGCTCTCGTCCTCTGACCCCGAGCTCCTCTCGCACATTGCTGCTGCTTGCGAAGTGCGCCCCGCACTTGCTGGAGGCTCTAAGTCTTCGGACGCTGTAACGAACTGCATGTCTCCGGCATTGAGCGCTTCCTGGCCGTGGTGCAGAACGTCGTCTGCCTCCAGCTCTAGCGCCCGATGCCTCCCTGCGCAACTCGCTCTCAACTGCTCCCTCTTGCCCTCTACTAGCAAGAAAGGCGTGTCTTGGGTTTCGAAGGCCGCCTCTAGCTGCCGTGCTTTCAGCTCCTCTCGGGTGACTCGGACTGCCAGCACCTGTCTGTCGCGCTTTCGCCCCACCTGCACCAGGACTGCTTGCCGCCATGCAGGTGTCAGCTGGTCCAGCTTCAGGTAGCACACACTGCCTACTTCTGTGTTGGGCTCGCGCAGCTCCATGTGCACAGACTGTCTGCCAAAACCAAGGCAGCACTGCGACCCTGCGCCTCTTAGAGGTAGATCGCACGCAACTTCACCTTGTTACTTTGGCAGTGCCCACCGCACGTAGAACGTAGAATCTGAAGGGCGCTCTGCTCCTGGACCAAGCAGCCCCTGACCCCAGAAAAGGTTGCAGCCTCGCTGGCCGTCGCTCGCCAAGCCAACGTCAGGCTGCTCAACCATGCAAGGGTTAGACTCTCCAGCTTTGAGACTAAGAGGCAATGTTGGTTCAGACATACAAGTCATATTAGGAAACCAGAGTTCCTCAGCTCTAGGTTTTACATGCTGGTTTCATCTGGCTACCTACTTCAGTGGTAGCTGGAAGCACTGGGGAATCCTCGCTCTTCGTTTGCCAGGATTCAGGGGACACTTCCCCTATTCTTTCCAGGGATCCTTCTTTCCAAAAACCATCAGAACCCCAGGGGAAACAGCTGGTTTTTGAAAAGAACGATGGTGAAAAAGAATGGGGAATGAACCCCTAGAACTTTGGGTGTTGCAACCGACAAATCTGGGAAACTCAGGCTCGCGCTCGGGGCTGTTCGGATGTCATTGCCCTGAAGCAAACGCCAGGCTGGGCGGACTGGCAAATAGAGGTTGATCAAAAGGTCCTTTACATAGGATAACAGCTGGAAAACCACAAAACAGAGTAGATATTTCCCCGGGCAAAAGTTACCCATGATCATTTGGGGGCCCAAGATGATATGGATCAACCCCCGGCTGGACTAGGGTTGAACGGTTGGTACGTCTTCAGCGAAGGTTCCAAAACTGTAGCCTTGCGCTCGTGCTCCAAAAATGAGGCCGTCGGACTTATGAGGCTGAGTGGGTGTATTTCTGACAGATTTGCCCTTGACTGAAGAAACTAACACACCTCTTCGGTGGATCGGCCAAACAAAGTCCAAACTTGTTGTTTGCCACTGATTAAAATGGTCTTCCCAAAAAGTGACTACTAAAGTCCAGGAGCTCATGAAGTGAGAATATGTTGCCCTTTGGCATCACCCAAAGGATCACTGTACATTTTAGGAATTCATGGGATTCATTTTGAGGCTACCCCGGTTTTGGGGCGGGGGGTTGACATGAAATGAAAAGAAATCCCCCCCTTGCCATGGACGCTCGGCTACCCACTATCGTGCGCGGTTTAATTGAAACACAAAACAATGCAAGTGACAGTCTTCAGGAGTGAATGTGCAGTCTCGGCATCTATGCTGCAGATTCTTGCGGTTCGCCCATCGCAGCTTTCATGCGCACGCGTCGCGTGTTGCTTTACTGCCATAAACTGCTGGCGCTGCCTGGGTGTGCTTTCTCCAAGTGAGTGTCACGGAGCTTCCCGGTTCCCGGGAAAACTTTGAAGGGGTCGAACCGGACCTCCATTGTTTGGCACTTGATTCGAGGCCCTTTTGAGGGCCCGGATGCTATGTCACTTCTCGGAGGACGTGAACCAATCAGCCATATGATTTTCTCTCCCGAACAAAGAACCAGCATGTCGCAGCCTGGTTTCTATGTAAAGAGTTGAAAGGGCATCCACTTTTTGAGGGGTTTGAGGGATTGTGCTTTTTCTTTGCAAAGGATCCCTGGAAAGAATGGGACATATCGAGTAGAAACGTGGTTGTCCTTGTGCTTTCCCTTTAAAACCGCAAAAAATACCAACAACAAAAAGAACACCTCCAGACACCCAGGAAAACGGCTGGTTTTTGAAACCCCTAGAACTTTGGGGGGATCCCCTCAAAAACGACACATCCAACACGTTTATTCGCGCTCACCTGCCTCCCTACCGTCTTCCGGCGGCCTCTGGAGCGCACTTGCCCCTGGCCACGATGCGGCCAGGATTGGTTTTGGGGTCCCCCCCAAAAAAAACAACACAGAAGAGACAATAGCACCCTCACACAAGAGCATTGCAGCCACATGGACCCTTGGAGCATTCTGGTTGGTTCATCTGAGGGTTGGTTCACCAAAGGCAACGCTTCCTTTAAGAAGCGATTTTTTTGGCTCGGGGGCCCATATGCAACCATTGCATCCCTCTGCAAACTGCCTTGCTTTCTTACGGTATTTCTGCTGCTGCGCCACTTGACTCTCCAAAATTCCTTAAACCGGCTCACTCGAGGTGAGGCGGACAACTGGCACCCAGGTATACGGTGCGAATGCCTCAACGGATTCCATGTGCTACGCTTCTCACAGTGGCCGGCCCTGTACAGAACCACCGGACTCGATCCATTGATGTTCCGCCAAAGTCACACTGACAACGCCCCAAACCCAGCGCGCGGTGTTTGATGGATGCGTCTATCTGGTTCAACTTATTTTGTGTTTTTCTCCCCCCCTCACCCCGCCCCACCCCCTCACCCCCCCCCCCCCGGTTTTGTTATTTTGAACAGCTTTGTGGCCCTTGAAAGTGTCCACCTGTCGCTTATTCGAGCGGTTCGATTCGGCCTCACTCTTGCGCCTTCCGAAGTCAGGAGCGCTGTCCTGCCCGAGTTGGTTTTCAGACATGGGGTGACTCCTTTGGGGTAGATGATAGTCTGTGATGGGCCTTGCTACAATCCCTATTGAACCCCACTGAGTGGAACCACTTCCTAAACTTGGCCCGATTCAAACGGGTTTTGGGCGCTCATCTGGGCTTAACAAAAGAAAAGGAAACAACCCCCCAAAAAAATAAAATAATAATAATAATGTGCACCTTCCAAGAAAGACGCATGTGGAAAATCGTCGTTTGGAGCCCCCCTTTTCCCGCAACCATTGAAGTCGACACTATCAGTCTTAAGATGATGATCTTCCGAAACTCCCCACCGATCGTTCACTTCCACTCATGGTGATGGGGTAGGCCCATGAGGCTAAGGACATCTTGCACATGGCTGCGTCTTGTTTGGGGGTACCCCTTGGTGAAACTAAAAGGCAAACCAAAATCCATTTTGGGGGTCCCGGCCCGAAAACAAACACCCCCCAACTCCAGCCAAAAGGAAAGGCGCCCCGTTTCAACATCGACGGATTGACGTCTCTGACCGTGAAGGGTCACGAGCCACAAGTGCCGCGAAAACTTTGTGATGTGCGCATGCACTGTCGCCCAAAGAGGTAGAATGGGGGGGTTGCCGGACGTGAAAAGCAAAGAGTAAGATGCGAGTAGGTCAAAAAATCTTGCTGGCTCTCAGCAACTCCCCAGGCCCGGGCTGCCTTTCTTCGGGAAAAATTCCCAAGACCGCGATTCATTCCCAACACCTGGTCCTCGGCACCTTCCTCCGGCCAAGCTTCTGACCTGATCCGACGCATATCGACAACTTCAGTCGATTCGGCCAGCCGGTCCCACGTATTGAATGGATCGGCACAAAAGAAAGACTCACACTTCCATTTGCCGCTCAAAGGTTCTTCCCAAGAAGTAAGCCCAGGAACTCGGGAACACCCACCGAGCTGTGTTCGCGAGACGGGTACTGTGGCCTTCTCATTACAAGCCATGCCCAAAAAGCGAGTGGCACACGCAGATCCGTGCCTCTGAAGATCTTGCTGACTTCTCGGTCTCGACTCTTCGGGCAAGGGCGAGGTAGTCCGCTCCTGGCTTCGGGTCCAGAAGGGCAGTGGGGGAAGGCACCCTCGGCCATTCACACAGCCCGGTACATCTGGATCCTTCTTTTGAAGATTGCACAAAACAGGGGCTGTGGGAAATGGAATCCACTTCCGTGATACAACCATAAGGGCTTCCCAAACACCAACCCCCGCACAAAACGGGGGAGATTCCCTTGTGTCACAGAAGTGGGGTAAAACCCCTTGATCCCACAACCCTGGCACAAAAGGTTCTCGGGAATTAGGAGCGGCTGCTCAAAAGAAAGATCCCCAGTTTATGAATAGGAAATGTTTCCCTCCGAAAATGATGATTCGCCACTAAAGCCAGGAACACCCCCTATTAATACACTGGGGTTGATTCATATGTGGTCAACACTGTAGTAACATATAATAAGTCAACATTATAGCAAGGTTAAAACCACATTGTAGTATATAGTTGGTCCACGGCTCATATTCCGCCGTGGATCAAACTGCAATTGCATGTGTTTTTACCCCTTCGGGCAGGTGCAAACACTGATGCCCATGCCAGCCAGACGGCAAGAACGCCCACTCACGCGCACCCGCTCAGCACTGCACACATGCCAGCCAAATGGTAAGAACACCCGCGCACGCGCACCCACTCAGCACTGCACACATGCCAGCCAAATGGTAAGAACACCCGCTCACGCGCACCCGCTCAGCACTGTACCCATGCCAGCCACATGGTAAGAACACCCACTCACGCGCACCCGCTCAGCACTGCACCCATGCCAGCCACATGGTAAGAACACCCTCCCTTGGGACGAACTCCATTTTTGGTGTCTTTTGTGTTTGATTGCTTTTTTGGTGGGTGGGGGGGGGGGTGGGGTGGGGGGTGGGGGGGTGGGGGTGGGAGGGGTGATTGCGTCACTTCTATCTTCATTATCCGCCGACCCCTTACTCCTGAAAGGGGGGGGCGCACGGGAAGGGCGAAGTAGGGTGGCTGGCTCATGCAATGCAGAGGATGCTACGATCAGCAGCATGATGGTCATAATAATCTCTTTCTTAAGTTGTCATCACAGTAATCATTCTTTTCACCCAATGGTAGTCATCATCATCACCCTTATCATCATCATGACGGTCATCACAAGTGCGTCATCGCAGTCCTCATCCGTATCATCATCATGGCCATCATCATCTCTTAGGCAGCATGATAGTTATCATCACAGTCATTATGCTTATTATCATCATGATGGTCATCATCATCACCCTTACCAGCACCATCATGATTGTCATCATTGCTTTCTTATATACATTTCAATGGTCTTCATCATCTCTTTCTTATATACATTTCAAGTGTGGCGTTGGGCGCCTTTGGTGATGCAGAGAATGCTACGTTGATAGTTATCGTCATAGTCCTCCTTTGTATCATCATTGTCATCATGCCATCATCATCCCTTCTTAGGCAGCATCATCGTCATCATCCTTATCATCATCATGATGGTAACCATCATCACCCACAGTCATCACTCTGAGCCCCTCTCTCTCACCATTTCTCATTTCTCAACGCCTCCGGAGCTTCCACGGTCATCATAGGCTCCCGGCCACAGAATTTGTTCCATTCACTGATGCAACGCTCCCGCTCGAGGCGCACCACACTCAGCTCCTCCATCGTGCGCATTGGGGTCAATCACTCTGAAGCTTGGTGACCCTCAGGATTGCAGTCACTCAGGTAAGACCTCTGACCGCAAATGCTCTTGTTCAATGCAAAGATGTCACCGCGTGTCTTGAAAAACGAAACATATCACTGTCACACGCCGCACAGGCAAGCATCTGGCAAATAAGATCAGGAATGAAGGACCGTGACAGCGACCATGACAGCGTGCCACACCAGGGCGGTGCTTTGTGTTGAGGACCTTTGCTGAAGTAACCTGTGGCGCACAAGTCTGCGCCTTTCCATAAGCCATGCAGCCGCTCCAACAGCCTGTCACCTGGTGACAATGTCCTCCGGGCATCGTCTTCGAAGATAAGATGCCATCTCGCTTGATTGATGCGACCATCTCTGATAAAGGTTGCCAACATTTTGGAGCGAAGACCTGGATACAGAGCCTGTCGGCCTGAAACAGTAAACTCCTTGAAGTGAGACTCATTCCGAAAATCCAACCCCACATGCTTCGCAGTGTCAAAGCCTCGTTGGAGATTCCTGCCAATAGTGAGCACAAACACCGCAACATGGCCGTCCACCTGCAACTGTCCTGCGCGTGCAATGCCAGAGTAATCTCGGAAGTTGTCAACAATCTGCGATCTTTGGCTGCCCGTTCATCTGGCCGAACACTTTTCATCTTCGCACCCTGCAGTGCCTTCGAAAACCCCTTGTTCGGCCTGGACTGGTCCTCGCGCTTGGTCACGGGGTGCAAGTGACAGGCCTGACAGGCCCGGCAGTTGTCTTCCCATTTGCAGCCCTTCTTTGATCTGAAAAGAAGGTTGCGCCGATTCGTCATGATGACGACCCGGTCGTGGGGATTCCCGTCTTCAGCTTCCTCCTTGGCAAGCAAACGCTTGGCCAGGAGGCGCCGCCGGCGCAGGCACGTCCGAGCAGATGAGGGACCCCTCCCCCCGCTGTCGACTTTTGAAAAGAGAATTCATCATGCGTTTCCCAGGCAACATGCGGTCTTGAGCATGGCAAAATGCTTGACAAACGACGCTTTCAAGAGCCTGTGTGTTTGAACTTTTGAAAGCAGCGTGCCAGTGGGATTCAGGAAGTCAAGAAATTCCCCGCTGGCTCGGCGCAGTTCACATGCTCCTTTCCCCCTGTAATCTCATCTTGGACAGGTTTCTCCGAGGCAAAAACACGCACGATATGGCTACTACGGGCGGTGTACCTGGTAGTTAACCCCCAAAACACAACGCGTAAAGCTTTGAAAGCTAGAAATCCCACTGGTCCGTCCTCTCCGCCCTCCGACAAGACCTTCCTGGCCGGAGCAGTGGTACATTTGTCAAAATGGGGAGACCCAAGACGGTGGCTTCATTCGGGTGTGCCTTGCGTTTGAAGAGGCTAACCCAACAAATGCTGGGTTTCCTATTGGTCCAACTTTTCTGTGGGTAACCCAGCAAATGGGTGTCCTTCTCCTTTTCCTTTTGGTCGCCCAACGAAAAAAACTACCCCAAGAAGAGAAAACAACAGACAGACCCAAATTTGGTCTTGCCTTTTAACTTAACCAAACATGTGCCCTCAAAGAAAAGACAGAAATGCCATATCTTGGTGATCAGTAGGGAATGTGGGAATACCCCAGGGACTTTCAGGATGGTTTATAAGGGTCATTCAAGTCATTCCCTCATGCCCTGCCTATCACACCAGCAAGATACATGTGAGTTTGACCAAACCAGGTTGCGAGCCGTGATTCTCTTTTCTCGGGGGTAAACAAACGGAAGGAACCTTCACTGTTGAATTGGAGCAGTCCATTTAGAAAGCCCGGAAGCCAGGGTCCATTGGGTACCTGGAGTCTCCCTCTGACCCCTTTTTCTTGCGGGCACTCAAACATCTGGGGAGTTATGACCCCATTTTCTACTGGCTATGGAGGAAACGTCCAGGTACCCTCACAAGAGCGACCCTTTTTCTTGGGTTCCCCAAAAAATCTCGGGAGTTACGCCCCATTTTCTAGGGGTCAGGAGGCTCATGGAGGCTCTCACAAGAGCCACACCCCTCGAGAGCTCGTGGCCTGGGGCGGTCGAGTGTCCGGCGCTTCGTCTTCTTCCGACGCACAGCGGGCTCCTGAGTTCGCTACTTGCCTTCCCCACCGGCCCACTGGCCCCAGGGACCTTCGCACCACTTTGAAACCATGGTTGAAACCATTCTTTGTTGGCATTTACAGGCGAATCAATCATTCCAGGGATTCTGAACGGTGGTGCAGGATTTCGTATCTTGGCACCTCAAAAACTTTAGGTCCGAAGCCTTCCAAGAAACATCCCAATGGAGGGTCCTGTCTGGTGCAAAGCACCTTGAAACCAAAGGGGCCGTTTCAGGCCCGGGAGTGAGCTGTGAACAATGCCACTTGAGTGACCCAGTGCCGTCATAAACCTGGCAAGTTTGCTGGTTGCCGGTTGCCTGCTCGACTAGCTGGATCTGAGTAAAGCAGAGCCCTTGTAAATCCCGTACTTGAACAGGTGCGTGAGCTTCACCCCCTCCACCAACCAGACGAACTTTTCACGCTGGCGGAACACACTTGCCACCCCACAACCCATAGTTGACTGCCAGCCGGCGCCAAAGTCTCGCTGGACAAATCACTAGAATTCTCCATTTGCTTACACAAGGTCCCCTGGAAACAAAAAACAAACACCTATTTCCAGTAGGGCTTACACCTTGAAAAAAAAACACAAAAAACAAGGGGAAATAACACAAACTGTTAAGCACATAGATAAGTATTTATCACATGGAAGTCAGGACTCCCCGGGCAAAGCTCTGCCTGGCATAGGTTCTCGCGAGCGAGAAATGCGGATAGGTGCTTGGATGTTTGGTGCCAAGTTAGTAGGTGTTAGCCAACCAACTAAGAACACCGCCGAACCGGGCACTTATAAGTGGGTCCTATCCTGGGCGACTTGGCCGAACACCCAAGTGAGCTCGTGAACCCATTTGACCGCATCTCCACCTGGAGTCTCCAAGCCTGACCCTTGGAAAAAATATTGGTCCCAGCACCCTAGGGTCGCTTTTCCATTTGTAAAGCCCAACATGGCTCAAACAAAAAGAGCACAGGTACACAGGGACAAGCCACCCTTCAAAGGTGCAGGTCATCACCGAACGAACGAATCCTCGTCTCTGAGCACTGAGTGGCGACCTTTGGGGAGTTTGCGGGTCATTACCCAAAACTCAGGTTGGTTCTGACCCCTTTCCTCAGGGTCTCATAAAATGACTTCCCCCCCCCCCTCGTCGGCGTTCCTGCGGAGGCGCGCCGTCAGGCCTCACTCAATGCTTCTGACGTGGGCAGGTTGGTGGGGGGCAGGGGGTGGAAAATCCCGCCATTTTCGGCTCACAAGCCAAGTGGAGCCATGACAAGGTGAAGTCATGACTGGCGAAGTAGAACCGAGGGTCATGACCCTAGCTCGCCTTTGTCTCGGACCCCCCTCTTTTTGGTAGAAGCACCCCCGGCCCACATCTAAACAAGTTTGCACCCACACCACATGTGTGAGTGAATATCCAAACGTTTCCATGATTTACCGCATAACAAACGGACCCCGAAGAAAGACATATTAAATCCCTTAAAGAAAGCCAACTCGCACATCGCACATCGCAAGTCCCGGACTCAAAGCCCCTGGAGTCTCGAAACTCTAAAAAAAAACAAGGGAACCTGTGGAGAAGCAGGGGGGTCTTTTTGCCACCTTTTGTGAGAAAATGCGCTACCCCCTCAAAAAGGAATCCTTCACTACAAGGGGGTCGATCATTTTTCCACGACAGCTGGCATAAAGACCACCTTGTGGAGAAATGGTTCACAGCCTGTGGCTTGCACCACAGTGACTGGGTTACCATGGTGTTACCAACACATCCGTCCTAGGCTCCAAATCCGTTGGCCATTCCCTTGGCTCACTGAAGGGCCCCAGCCTTTCCAGCGGCAGCGATGACGTAATCACCTCGTCCGCCTGGAATCAGAGCCGTAGCCAAATCGGGCGAATCAACCAAATCAACGGTTGGCTTGATGTAAGGATCATGGTTTACCGTTCAGGATTGTCATCTAAATTGGGTGGGCCGTTCCAGTTGTTCATAATAGTTCGCAAACTGGAAACAAGTAATCCCAATGATACATAGGACTTGCAGTGAGAGACATGCAGCAGAAAACGCGGGGAAACAAGAAAATCGTAGTTGTCAAAATCCTTGACCAAGCGTTCAGCCTTTAGGCCGCTGGAAGAACATGACGGTCAATTCAAATGGTTGACATCACTAGAGAAAGTCTGATCTCAACCATCCCGTGAGCCGCAATAAAGCCGTGAGAACACTTAGCTGGGCCTTGATGTTATCATGGGGGAACCCTCCCATCCTCCCCCCAATAAGAGTGGACTATGAAAAATTGTTCCGACACTCTCGCGAGGGGCCGATGACCATCCCCAAGCAAGATGGCCCTTGTCCATGCCGAGCATCTCAAAGTAGGGGAGCCTCTTCTCACGACTTTGATGGGAAACAAAATTCCGGGGGACCCGGGATCCGTAAATTGAAGACAGAAAGTCAATAATTACGTGGATCATCAACCTGGACAGGTATTCCCTCCCAAAATGAAGGATTCCCCTAATCAAAGAGAGGCTGAATCCACTGTTCCTAGTGCCCAAGTCGCATACCATGGGGCTCCCTATCTTTGGCATCTTTGCCCTTCAATCATCTACAAATCCCTAGGAAAGACCTCAATTTAATTTGAGGTCTTTGGGGGTTGAAGGCCATCATGTTTCGGGGGGATAAAGTTGCTCAAGCTGGCGACTGGTTTTGCAACTTATTGAAAAAATGTTTAACATGTTGAAACATATTGGGGTCCTAGAGAATGGTGATGTTTAAAGCCACAAAAACAAACTAGGAGTTTCTCAACCTCCAAACGGACCGGGCGGAAGCCTCTCCCGAGCCCCGCCTGCTTTGGCCTGCTTTGGTCGGTGCATTCCGCGGAACGGGAAGGGCCACAGAATTAATTGGGCATGGGGAAGCAGCGTCTCAGCGGGCCCAAGCAAAACTTGAGTCACAATCAAAGAGATCAGCTTGAAAGTTGTCGTGGTTACCCTTGGTGAGTCGTGGTGACCACGGGTCCTGACAATCAAAACCCGGCATTAACATCCTGAAGTCTTGTTGTGACACAGAAGTCTTGACACAAACGCAGAACCCCTGACATCAATAGAAAACACTTGGGTCACAATCGAAACCCGGTAGCATTGGTTGACACAAAACCATGTAGGGAAATACAAAGGCGGCCGCAACTATTTATGGCTCGGATTCTCCCTTACTAACCGGATCATCTACCCGGTTTTTGAGTAAGTGGTGTACTTGGCTTTTTTGAGGCCCAGCATACGGGCCCTCAGAAAGCCAGATCTATGGAGGTCCCTTTCCTCCCGCATTTTGCGGGTCATGATGCGGGGCATGATGGGGGCGATGGGCTTGGACCAACCGGCATCGCTTCAAGAGGCCCAGGCGGAGAATATGCAGGGCTTGTGTTTTTGGAGGGCACCCTTTGGTTGCGTTCAAGCTATTGTCACGCCAAAGACTGGCCATGAAACCAGCTTCATCGTTCGAACCATACAAAGCATACAATATTCACAGCTGGCACCTCAACTCATCACTCTCCCGATTGAAACTCTACCTCACCAAATTACCAAATTGAACGGATTTCGGGCTTCGAAGAAGGGGTCCATTTCCAATGCACGTGCCGTTCAACCGACCTGTTCTCTTCTTTTCAGCCACCCTGAACCGTCGTTCCCAACCTTCTAGACCCAGGCTTCAAATCTGTTCTTTGTTCATAGGCAAGGGCAAAGATGTTCCAACCCTCAGATCCGCCCTTTTACCGCCCCGCGACGTGTAACGGGCAACGGCGGTTTCCGGGGTGCAACGGCGGTTTCCGGGGCCTCTCTGGCAGCGTCAAGGACCTTCTGGTCCGAGGTCGTGAGGGTGCGGGTGCCTCTGCCTGGTCCTAGCGAGTTCATAGGCCGGGTCACAGTGGCATTCCATGGCCGGCAGTGGCACTTTTTTGGATGAGTTCTTTTAATTCAGGGGCTTCCCCCGTCCAAAAAAAGGCAAAGGGAACCAAAGGTCGGGGTTTGATCTCCAAATCCCTCACGGCCCAGGCCGGAAGTCGCATTCATTTGTCCAACCAGCTGATGCTACTTGGTCAAAAGGCCCAGAAATTATTCGCTTGGGTTTTGGTCCAAGAAGGGTTTCGTCTTGGGCCTTCAGATGCTTGACCTGTATAGACTAGTGCAGATCCTGACTCCCCGAACGGAAGGAACCAAAAAAAGGGTCCCCCAAAAGGAGATTCCTCTATGGATCGGGTTGGGGGGTTCCAGTTGCCAGCTGGGCTCCATTTCTCATTTGGACATGCGAAGTACCCCCAAGTCCATTGATAAGGGGATGGTGTCCTTGATTTTTCTCCAAAGTCGACCAAAAAACTCTGGCGAACCTTTCCTCCCACAGCGCGAAGGACACGCTGTTACCGCCGCTACCAGTTCCATCCTCCTGCCAAGCGCATCCGCCCCATCCGCCCATCCGCAGGAAAAAGCAAGTTGCCACAAATGAGACCCGACCCAACAACAAAGAGGGGTCTGCATTTATGACAGGAAATACTGACGCCACTCCGGGTCGAATCAAATGGGGCTATGATCAAGACAGGTTCGCGGGTGGGAAGGAGTGTCCAAGAATGCATATCACGCCCAATGCAACGTAGACCTGCTAGTTCAGAGGAAGCATTCCCCCTAGTCCAAATACTTGCTTGTTTTAGTTGGTACTTGTTGGAAAATCCACGGTTGTCAGCAGTAAATACCGATCCCATTTTGTAAAGGGCTGACATGATACCAGTTTGTGTCATTAGTACCAGTATTGCCATTTAAATATTAATTATTAACTGTTATTAGTATTAATAGTAAACTTGCTATTATGACTGCTATTATTATCATTCTGATTAAACACGGCCAAGTTGGTCGAGTCAGTTGGGAGGTGCCCTTCGAACGAAAATGCCCTTCATGGAAGTTGAGTCTACGGAATTCGTCCGGCCAAGTGCCAAAGGGACAAACATCAGGTAGGTAAATGTCCTCCATGGCGGCATTTGGTTCAAGCACAGGTGAACTGTTGCTGCGTGAGAAACTGACAAATCATGTCGGACTGGTTGAATCAAGGCATCCATCTTTCCAGAGGAAATTCTAAGTCCGGCCTCAAAAGCACTCAATATCAGCTGAACCCCCCTTTTGGATTCCAAATTCCGACTCCAGGAAGCAAACCTTGGCCGTGTTCCCGAATAGGGGGCGACAAACAATTCAGCCATGAAGACAGCCATCTTCATGGCCAGGTCCCTCACTTCCGGAGTCAAAGAAACCAAACGAGTCGGAACTCTCCTAGGTCCTCCAGAGAGGTTAGAATAAGGGTATAGCCCATGTTTTCCTGCAGTCTATTAACGGGGAACCCTCCCAACCAAACAAGAAACGGGTGAGAGGTCGGGCACGGGACCACTCGTCTCTTGCCACGTTTTCACGGTCGGCAGACGTTTTTCAAGCCCAGGAACTCGAGCGAGTGTCCTTTCTTGTGACGCCAGGGATCCGGATGCATTCACCGATCGAGCATTGCAACTTGTAAATGGTGTCCAACTTTACGTTGGTGTGGAAAAAGCAACATGTTATTGCCGTGTAAATGGTGTCCAACTTTATTTTGGTGTGGAAAATGCCACATGATTGAAATGGTTGCAAAATGAATTTCCTTTAAGGAGCCCTGTGAAAGGAGCCGAGACGCACCACGGCCAGCTGGCCAATCTTCCCAGAGATTCTGATTCCTTTTCCATTCTTTTCAACCATCGTTCTTTTCCAAAACCAGGCGTTTTCCCTGGGTTTCCGGAGGTTTGCTGAAGGATTCCCGGAAAGAATGGGGAAGGTATCCCTGGAGAGATGCTGTGGATATCTCTCGTCCTCCTTCTGGGGCGTCTGCAATTGATTGCGGCTCTCCTGCGCGCAAAGCGCAAGCAGTCGGACCAAAGATTTTGAAATCTTCAGATGTGGAAGCGGGGCTTCAGGATTCCCGAAGCGCTTCCCACTTTCGGCCATTTGGGCTTCGCTCAAAATGGCGGACCTTACAAAATGCGTGGTGTTTTTTTCGGTCTCACTTTGAAACCAAGCAAAAAGGGGCACCCCGAACAAAGACACCCCTTTCAATCAGTTACCTTCAATCTACTAGGCATGGGGTTCAGATTTTCAGATTCAACGCCAAAAGAATTATAACTTTTAGTGGGTTCAATGGACGAACCCAACCACTAAACCAACTAAAAAGCTGCTGGGTGGGTTCCTCAAACAGGGGGTCCGGGAGTCGTGGCTTGGGGAAGCGTCAACGAAGCGCTTCAGGCTGCGGCGGAGGGCCTCGCTCCGCAATTTGTAGGGCACAGGCGAAACCACCTTCGGGCAAATTGAGTAGAGGTTGATTTTGACCAACCCAGGGATGTGTTGTTTGGATGTGTCTTTTCGATCCTGGTTTTTTAGCGCACCCCTCCCCAAAATGGGCTTCCCTTTAAAGCCAACCAAAGGGGACCCTCAAACAAGACATGCCTGGGGTGTGATTCTTTTTCAGGGCACCCTCCCAAACAAATCGTGGTGTCCTCGTGGCTTCCATGATTAAAACCCGCGTCGGATGCAGGGCCCACCGCCATGCGACAAACCCTTGGACTTTAGGATTTGAGGCCTTTAAAGCTTATCCCGCATATTTAGGGAAGCGGCTCCTGGGGAACAGGAAATTCCAGAACTGAAGAAGCTCAAAGAGATCTATCCTTAAAAACCCGAAAGGCCAGTAAAGTGAGCAAATAAAGAACCCAGACCAAACAAACAGATCCCTGGCCAGCCTTAAAGAGTTCAAACCATCAAATCAAGGGTTGGCGAAAAAAATGCGCCATGGTTTACTGTTCAGGAGTTGTCATCTAAAATGGGCCCTTGCCATTCTTTCGATGGGAACTGGTTGAACCGAAACCACTTAGCTTCAACTCATTTGCGTGTAGCCCCAAGATCCTGGACCAGTCCTCGACACGGTCGTCGCTTCGTACTTCAGGCAAGTGCCTCCACAAAAAGCGCTGGTGACGGTTGCGGCTTCCCTAACGCCCGAAAGATTGCCCGCCTTTTTGTTTAAGGGTGCTGCTTGAAACATATGGTTTCAATGGTAAATACCTACTTGTTTAGTAGAGGTGGAAGGGGGTTGTGGTTTTTGTTTCTATTATCACATAGTGATTCAGAGCCCACAGGGGAGTCATTGCAGCCGAAAGATGTGAGCGTTGACTATCAAAAGCCATTAAGGACATGCCATGGTTTGCCTTGCCATGGAAATGAATCAGCTTTGGATGTTTTTCTACATGGATTAACCATTACAGGTACACCACTTTGGAATGCAGCACTTTGGGGGCCGTCGAACTCTTCCCCACATAGAAACTGTCAAGAGACGGCAAGGTGACGTCCCGTGGGACGCTGTGCACCGAACCCTCAAGCTTCAATACCAACCACGTAGAAAGGTGTATACGGACGATGCCGTTATAGCCGAACCCGTGTAAACGTTGTAAGGAAGAAGGAATGATAATCACAGCAGTAGTCCTGACCCTGCGGCGCAAGCGGTTGTTTTGCTCTTTGTGCCAATCACGGAGATCCGCAGTCACACATCGGATCTTGAACCTCAAATGTGTCTTGAGCCAAATGGCGATCAATGGAACTTGGGAAGCAACACCAACAAGGACCTCAGAACAGCTACCCAATTTCGGCACGGGGCCTAGAGGGTTTTAACATCCCCCATTTGGGTCGCATTGTTCATCATGCGGTCCAAACACCACAAAACGTTCCACTGGCCACGGCTTCAACTACGAAATCGTGTCGTGCACTCTTTTACTTGCTATCACTACACCGTTCATTCGCTGTGAAACATGCCGGGTTCGATTGTACGAAAAGTGAAACATTCATCCTCCAATCGAAGCACTCATCCATATGCAGGTGTATATAATACACTGTGGCCACTTCACTTGACCGCCAGTGAACATTCCAGCTGCCGCATTTGCGCATCGCGCAGCTGTCATCCATAAATGGGTTGGCCACAAATGTCCACCATGCGCGCCCGCTTGTGATCGGTCTGCATATCTCCGGCAAAGAAACATCGGTGAGTAATCAATGCAAATCATAGCCATTCCAGATACCATGGACAATACATAAATAATGAAAAGATATCATCTATAAGGTAATAGTTCCATCCATGAATATCCAGAGCGTCATAGTCGTCGGAATATGTAACCATGTACACATCCAATCATCTTGGACACATGAATATAAATCATGACATAAGTCGTTCCACCGAAACAGTGTCGATGTGACGCAAGTAACAGATGGGGACTGGCCCACATCGTACCGCAATCATCATCTTCACGAAGCATACCTGTCCCCAATGGACAGCCTATGGGTACGTCGGCGGAACTCCTCGTCCAAGTTCTTCTGGGCTTCTCGTGCCCGGACACACTTCTTGTTGTAGTCCTCTGGCAACCAGTGCCCTTTCCGAAGGCACCAATCCAGCAGGGGTGTGTCGCATTTGTTCGGGTCGATGGCCGAGATGATGGCGCTCACGTTGACCGTGTAACCATGTTGCCAAGGTTTAGGCCATCCCTCACGAATGATATATACTTACAGTTGAAAGCTAGTGCAAAACATCTGAAAATAATATCACCCACCGGGTGCACTCGGTCCTTGACCAGGAGCTTCATTTCTTCCTTGGTGACATCGAGGATCCTTGCTGCAATCCACAGCTTGTAGAATGTGTATAGTCCCTCGCATTTGTTCACCATCATACGAATATATTCGTCACGCTCCTCAACCGATCGGAAGGCTCTTGTCCGAACATTCTCCGATTGAGAAATCTTCGTTATTGTTGATGGCAAAAGTATACCTTCCTGATCATGCTCAGTGATGTTGGGGTACCTCTTGAAGTCATTGTGGTAAGGGCAGCCCTCTCTCCCCTCGAGCTTGGCATTCATCGTTCTCTCCTCACCACCTTCAAACATCCCCCACATCTTGGACAGCTGGAGTGCGATAAATCCTGCCATGTACTGAGCCTCACGCGGCTCGTCAAGGCAGATCGCCATCCGTTGGGAACTTATAATGTCCCGTGACGTCAGATCGGTGTCGCGGTAATGCCAACCGCCGTCTTCTTCTTCTGACGCATAGCCGGATGTATATCCTTGCGTGTCCATGTCGTCATCTTCTCCCGGAACTTCCTCCGCTTCGTCCTCATCCTCCTGTGCTGCCGCATCGTGGTTAGCTTCTTCCTGTGCACGCCTGGCATCTCCAGAGACGTTGGGGTTTTGGTTGTCCTCCTCGTCATCGGATTTGATGTGAATGTAGTATCTTCCGATGGAGATCAGTTGTGCCTCGCACTCCAGGCATAAGCAGAAGCAGGTGGGGATCGCGGTCGCACATGATGGACATATCCGGCACCTCAGTCCTTCCCATGTCTCATCATTCAGGATGACGACTTTGCTGACTTCGTCCCGGACC